CTCATATAACATCACATAAATATATATTGCAATTAGTTTATATAAAATGCATAAAGTAAATGAAAACAGATAATTTGAACTGATGAATATTTTTAATACAAGGAGCTTCTCCAAATCCTAAAATTTGCATCACACTGAAGAGCTTTAAAGCACAATCTAAAGCTATTCCATGCTTTCTGGAAGGATTACAGTGCCCTCTTCTGGTTTAGTATAAATAACACATTTGCAGGAAAAGCACAGTAATTCAAACATCAACTAGCATGGTTTCAGAAATTCACTTTCCCTTCTCAAACTGAATGAAAATATTTATGTAAAGATCACACTTTAAACAAAGTACACAGTAGCATCCATAGCAGAGACGTATTTATGTGAAAAAATGCTCGACATGGAAAGATACATTCGTGCACATCTGTAGGCCATACTGATGAGAACAGTCTGGGAAATGGATAGTCACTCGGGGGCAGGACACTAGTATCTGGGGATCAACTGAGGGAAGCAGACTTCTCACTGTGAATCTTGCTGTGCTATTTGAGTTTGTTGATCATATGCATATATTAATCTTTCAGGTAAGAAAAAAGTTATACTTTAATTACCTATTAAATACATGGTATATATCCAAATTTCAAGCTTCTCTTTCTAAAATTTCCATACCTTCAGAGAAGTCATAAATCTGTTCTTAATCGCTTCTCGGCCTTTTGGCTAAGATCAAGTGTATAAATCTGTTCTTTCCCTGCCTATTTCGGTTAAGTTAAAGCCCACCCTCTATACCTTATCCACGCAGCCCCTCAGCTTCGGTGTGGCCAGGAAAAGGAAGTAGTGCATATAAGTTCATAGCTAGAAAGCCAAAACTTACCCAATTCATCCATAAACTTGACTCTATTTTATAATCGAACTTCAGAGAAACTAATTAACATTCACATAGTTAGAATATCAATAATTATAAAGTATGTACAATATAAAATAATCTGTTTTCCAACTTAGTCCACCCTCTCCAATGGGACCATGAATATTTCTAAAAACTACATCAGTGATTGTCGGGTGATTGAATGTTTCTGTCAAGCACTTTTATAAGTGAAGGAACAAGGAGCTAGCTGAGCTCTTAGAGGTGAAACCCCAGTGGGAGGAGACAGGTGTTATATACATAAATGAGCTGATACACATTATTTCTGAAAATTACAGTAATATTTGAAAAGAAGAAGAGTAAAGAAACAAGTAGCAGATGAGATTGCTGTTGTACATGCGCAGCCTGCTCTGAGCAGGACCGTTTAAGCAGAGCCATTAAAGCAGACCATTTAAACAGAATCACAGCGATGGGGGTGTCTGGGTGCAGCCCACCCCTCAGCGAGAGCAACAGGGAGAGGGGGCCAGGCTGGGATTCAGGAAGCTGAGCGCAGGTGGGGGGAGCATGGCTTTGGCGCTAGAGGCCTTTGGTTTGCAGGATCCGGATCCACCAGACACCACAGGGCATGAGGAAAGTAAGGCACCTGCTTGCTGCTAAGCCTGCAAGTGACAGCAGTGCAGGGGCACAGGCGCCAAGAGGGGACTCCTGCAGGCAGCCTGTGGGCACAGGGCAAGCGGGTGGGTGGACAGGGGCAGAGGGACCCGGGCAAAGCTCCCTCCGGAAGCTTCTGTCTTCATAGTCAAAAAGTAGAAAGCCTTCTTTGAAGGAATTCATGATCCCTTTTCATTCCCTGGCTTCGTAGCCTGAGTGTCCTTCACAGGCTTCCCCTCCCTGATGCCCGGGATGCATCCTCACAGCCTTCAGGACCCCAGGTCCTCTGCCTCAGAAGCAGGACAACACACAAGCCTTGGGCTCTACAACTCACCTGTCCTGCTGCCTCCTCAACTCTTTCTTTGCCCTGGAAGTTAGCTAACTCTTAGGGTGTAGATCTCCCCCCAAATAAGTAACCTCCCTAGGCCATTCTTGAATGTCCCATGGAAAATGGCCCCTTTATTTTGCTTACGTGTTTATTCCATATTGTCTGCTACCTCCCAGAATTATGTGTTTGGTGAGAAACTAGCACCCCTAGCAACCACATCTACCCTCCCTCCATCTCTCCCTCTCTTCATCTGGCTTGATCTTTCTTCTCAGTACTCATCCCTACATAGTGTGTGTGTGTGTGTGTGTGTGTGTGTGTGTCAGAAAAAAGAGAGAGAGAAACAGAGAAACCAATAAACAGAGATATTTTGTGCATCTATCTTAAGAGAATAACAAGGCTGGGAAGGTAGCTCAGTGGCACCATGACTGTATGGCAAGTGTGAGGTCCTGAGTTCAGTCCCCAGTACTGGGGGAAAAAAGGAGAGTAATAACTCTGACAACAAGTGCATTGTCTGTTCTATCCATTCTGTGTCTCCTGATCCAGAACCATATCTGGCACTTTGTACTTATTCAATGAATATTTCTTTCTTTTAATTTTTTATTTTATTAGTACATGTTGTTGATGAATATCTCTTGAACAAATTTGGTAAGTTAAATGTTAAATGGTAAGTTAAATGAAAACATAAATATAGAATATATAGTAGAATTTGGTATAGAGTAAATCTTTAATAAATATACCCACTATGATGATGACATGAAAGACCATTACAAGCCAAGCATGGTGGCACACACCTGTGATCCTAGCCTTCTGGGAGGCTGGGGCAGGAAGGCCACAAGTTCAGCCTAGCCTGGGCAACTTAGTGACTTGGCAAGACACTGTCCCAAAAATTTTTTTAAAAAAAAACTTTTTTTGGCACTGGGGATCAAACTCGGGACCTTGTGCTTGGAGGCAGGCAGTGGAACCACTGAGCTAAATCCCCAGCCCCTAAAAATAAAAAAAATTTAAAGGGCTGGGAATGCAGCTCAGTGTGAAGGTCCTGGGTTCAAGCCCAAGGAAGAAAAAGAAAGAAAGAAAAGAAAGAAAGAAAGAAAGAAAGAAAGAAAGAAAGAAAGAAAGAAAGAAAGAAAGAAAGAAAGAGTGATAGCACCTGTCATAAGCACAGCTGTGAAGGGCTAATGAATCCCCTCTGCTCTTGAACCAATCTGCTTTTATCTCATCAGAGATTTTCATTAAGTACATGTCACTTCTTCCTCTTCATAAACTCCCTCCTTTCAGCTAAATGTGTGCAACATTTGCCCACAATTAAAAATAAAAGCAGCTAAAACATATCTTCTTAACCCTGCATTATTTTCTGTCAGTCAGCTTTTCACTCCTGTGAAAAGGTGACTCAGATCATAAAGAGAGAGGTTGGGCTCATGATTTTGCAGGATTCAGTCCATGGCAGGTTGGCCAGCACACTGGGCCCATGGTAGCGCATCTTCTGGGCAGAGGAGGTCCTCACCATGATGCTCGGAAGCAAGAGACAGGGTAGGGCTGAGGTCCCCGGTCCCCTCCAAGTGGCCCATGGGCCACTCCTAGGCTTCCTCTTACAGGTGCTGCTATCTCCCCATAACCTCAGGCTGTCAAGCCGGTAGCATATGGTCCCTGGGGACACTGAGCAAATGGCTTCACCACCTAGCAATGAAAAAGAGTAGTTTATACTAGTTCACAGCTGTTAACCAAGACAAATCTCAAATGAGCACATTCATTTTTATTTACTGTTCATATCAGTGTTTCATGATTAAAATGTTAATCATTGTAAAATGGTATGCAGTGAAAGGTAGATCTGTTCTCTCAGTCCTTGCTGCAAGAAAATTAACCATAATCTGTATATCCTTCCAGGGAGTAGGTGTGCAAATCTAGACAGATAAATCTCTCTTGAAAATACCAAACTGGACTATCCTGCATACACAGTTCTGCACTTTGGGCTTCTTTCAGTTAATGATGCATCTTGGGTAAATTTTGATTTACTGAAATTTACTGGCTTCAGAATGCTCTGTTGGATATGGATATAATGCTTCCATTGAACTCCTTTGAATAGTTCCATATTTATTGGCATTTAATGCATTTCTAATCATTTGTTCTTGGCAACACTGGTGAAATCAATAGCTTTGTCCATGTGTGTGCATACGTGCACTGTGTAAGTATATGCACACTCTTCAAATATACCTGGATAGAAATTTTCAAAAGTAGAAATGCTGGCATAAAGAGCACATGAATCTTCAGTTTTATTGATATGGCCAAATTGTCTACTAAAATATTTTTATTAAATAAGCAAGGTTTTCAAAATAATGAAATTCCTCAAAATAATGAAAAATTATAACAAGGTTATATCTTTGGTAAAGAAAAACAATTATTGATGCTCTTTAAATCAATCAAGAAAAGGATCGGAACTACTTCTAAGAAGTTATTAGTACACTGTATGATACTTAAGGTAAGGGAAAACCAAGCTCTATTCAGGGCAAAGAATTAGAATTCCTTTCCCTCTAGAGGTAATAGAAGTTTGAACACATCGCTAAATGAGCTTCCTAGGCTCCGGAAATTCTTTTCCCTAGGTCAGTCTCTTAAAAACTCACAGCCATGGAAACAAGATAGAAAAAGAAAAAACCTAAACGCAGACTTGCTGAGGAGTGCACCAGGTTTCTTACATTTCTGAAACAGTGAGTTTCAACTGTTGTCTTCTGGTTTTTTTGTTTTTTGCTTTTTCATGTTAGGGTGGGTTTTTTTAAAGATTGTAATTGTCTTTTGATATATACATAAACATACATGTATGTGTATATACATAAACGTACATATATAGTGACGCAGTTATATATATGTATACATATATACATATAGTTATATATAACGATACATTAACATATATATAGTTTCTTTTACAGACTGCAAACTCTTCACGGATGAGTGGAGAGGATGGTGCCCTCCTGCTTCCCGCAGCTACGTGCTATTTACTGCACCTATTATCAGGACAACTAGGAATCCAGAACCCTTTAAATCCGTCCCCCACTCTAGCGCAGTGGACGCACCTGCCTCCCCCCCAGCTCCGCGCCGCAGATGGAATGGCCCTTGGCGTCACGCCGGCGCGGCCCAATCAGGCGCGGCGTCGGGGAAAGTTTAAACCGGAGGCGGGGAGGCTGCGCGGCGCGGGCGGGCGGTTGTGGCCATGGCGGAGGAAGCGGCGGTGGCCGTGTGCGTGCGGGTGCGGCCGCTCAGCAGCAGGTGGGTACGCGGCGCGGCCCGCCCGGGGCGACCCGTGGTCGCCGGGTCGCGGCCCTGACGCCCCCAGGGCCTTGGTTACTTTCGCCCCGGGCTGAGACCTCGAGCCTCAGCCTCGGGGCACGAACGCCCGCCGGCCCTGGCCCTTGACGGGGAGCGAGCTGCACACCTGCGGTCTCCCTGCGGTGGAGAAGCCGGCGCTGAGGTCCGGGTCGGGCTGCCGGGGCGGCGTGGTTAGGTCGTAACCGGTGCCCCGGAGAAGCGGGCGGCGGGCGGTGAGTCTGCGCCTTGCTGGCCGGGCCTGCGGCTCCAGACGCTAGCGCCGTGTGTGAGAAATTGTTGGGTGCATCGGGCGTCTCCTGTTTCTGGGAGAGAGAAAGACAGCTGCGGAGGAAGCTGCACGGCCTCCGAGCTGGGCCCGACGTCGGGGGACCTGCGTGACAGTTTGGGTGGGGCGGGCTGGGTCTCCAGAGTCCTGACCTTACAGGAATGAAAGAATAAGTAAACGACCCAGTGGAAGGTGTTCCGGGCACAAATGTCATCTTCCGCTTCGGAGAAACCTTGGGCTGGTTAATTTGTGGGTACCTAAGATGTATATAGGAGTTTACAAGAAGACAGTTAGAGAAGTGACTTGAAGCAGAGGTCTTGAGCCATGCTTCGCATTTCAGGCTGTTAAGGATTCAAAGCAAGAGGGACACCCATCACGGTGCGTGTTTAGTCTGTCCCTTCAACGGCCAGTACTGGGCAAGAGGGTGGGGGTGACAGGCTTTCCTAGGAGACTCCCGGGAGAAAACTGGGGTCTGAGCCCCTCCTAAGAGAGACGAACCCTCCCCCTCCCCGAGGCAGACTTTCCAGCTTTCTCTTATGTAAATTTTTACCATCTTTCAAAATATTCTTTAGAGCACGTGAATTTTTAGATTCCCTTTCCTGTAACAGGAATTCTGGTATCATTTATACCATACTTAACGTAGTGTTTTTATTCTTTAGAGAAGAAGAACTTGGAGAAGCTACCCAGATTTACTGGAAAACTGACAATAATGCTATTTATCAAGTTGATGGGAGTAAATCTTTCAATTTTGGTAAGCTTATAATAGCATCAAGAGTTAGCTTGTTATTCTTTTACTATTAAGAGTACAAAAGGGATATCGATAAGCCAGGCATGGTACACACCTGTAACCCTAGCACTCAGGAGGCTGAGGCAGGAGGACCACCCTGAATTAAAAATGCTGCCATAGTGAGTCAAGGTCTGCCTGAACTACGTAGTGAGACCTTGTATCAAAAAGAAAAAAATTAACAAAGGCATATCAATAATACTAGACTTGTCATTAAAGATCTGTTAACTCCTTCTCTAGAAAAAATTTGTTTATCCATCGTGTATGAGAAGACTAAGTTGATATTTAAAACACAGTTATAACTGTGTTACCTTATGGTTGGAACTAACATTTTCTCCTCATCCATTAGACCATTTGTAGTCTGAAGCTCTATAAATCTAACATATTTCACAACGTAAAGTTATCTTTAAGATCTTTCTGTTTATGATTTTCCGGTAATTTTGAATCAAATAATAAATGGTACGGGCGTTTCTCATTTGTCTGATAAAACATATCAGGGACCAGTTCAGCTTTCATGGCCTTATGGGAGGAGAGGCATGGTGAGGAGAGGAGCTTTTCAGGAACTCACAGTGGGGCATATAACTTAGTCCCAGTGTCCTCAAAGAGCCATTCACAGGGAGGACTTGAGACTGCAGGTGACAGGGTTGATTTCATTGTTGAGCTGACTGTCCAAAGCATTGACCACGGGCCAGATGCTGTTCTGACCATTTCATGTGCTTTAATTAACACACTTGGTCAAGTGTAGGTTCCAGCTACTGTTACCTGCCCCTTTTTAAGGAGGAGCAGGGGAGGGGGCAGAGTTACACAACCAGCCAGAGGAGGAGTGAAGCTCCCCTCTGTGTTCCAGGCGAAGCTCCCTACCTGCCTCGGGAAGCAAGGGGCTATAGTGTCCTCAGCAGCCAGCGCTCCTTTCATTTCGGAAGGGCGTTTTTCAGAAGTCAAAAAACTAAAGCAGACACTGTGTTATGTATTTTATCGGCCTAGATCCTAACAATTCTATTTCTTTGGATACTTACTAATTCAGAATGAAAACACAGTTGATTTAACTTCTGCGTGGTTTTTTTTTTTTTAGATCGTGTCTTTCATAGTAATGAAACCACTAAAAATGTATATGAAGAAATAGCAGTGCCAATCATCGATTCTGCCATACAAGGTTACAATGGTTGGTATTCGTTTTATGCTGCAAAAAGATTTTATTCTCAGTGTCTGTGCAACAAGTATTGTGAGTTTTAGACACTACTGATTTAGTTTGAAACTTTGCATTTGTGTGTTTTGTCTTTACAGGGACTATATTTGCCTATGGGCAGACTGCTTCTGGAAAAACACATACTATGATGGGCTTGGAAGATTGTCTGGGAGTTATACCCAGGGCAATTCATGACATCTTCCAAAAAATTAAGAAGGTAATAACTTAGCTGACTTCCTAGTGCATACAGGTAAAAGTAGTTATAATCAGGTAGAAATCTTAATGTTTTTCTCTTGTAAAGCTTAACGGATTTGGACTCCTTTCTTGGTACCCATGAAGAAGAGCATGGCACAGGTTCAGTTTTATCCCCACAGACAAACTTTATGGAGCTTAAAGTTCTCTCATTTGTTCTCTTGGATCCTGCAGCAGTAACACTTTAAACAAAAAGTGGGCATTGAGTACTAGGAAATCTTACCCAAATAGTTAGCTCCACGCTGCTTTTGGTTCTCAACCAGTGATTGTTAAAGAAAAATAAAAAGTGGATGTAAGGAAAAAATGAAGGGAAGCAGAAACGTAGAATATGCAACCTAATTAGTTAAGAGTTGGTAATGAGAATAAGCATTTTCATTAAAATAAGAACATCTATTACCAGGGTTTTATTTTGAGTCTAGACAGTTAGATTGTATGCTCTCTTATTTCATGATAGAATATTTTGCATTGTTTCTGAAATGATACTTTTGTATTTTTATGTTTATTACTGTCAAAACCATGGGTTGGTTTGGTTTATGAAGATAATTTCTTGCTACTTTAATGTTAATGGATATGCATTCAATATTAAATTTTCTTAATTGGATGCTCTTTGATGTTTTTACATATATTCTAGTTTCCTGAGAGAGAATTTCTGTTGCGTGTGTCTTACATGGAGATATACAATGAAACCATTACAGATTTACTCTGCAGTGCTCAAAAAATGAAACCTTTGATAATTCGAGAAGACATCAATGTGAGTAATGGAATTAAGGCGACTTCAAAACAGACTCTTCTTGGTATTCTTCTGCATAATTTAAGTGTTTCTAGAGCTCTGTCTTTAATATGTATAATTTTTAAATAACAGCTGTAATATTTTAGTTGAAGTGCCTAAAAAGAGCAGGATGGAAAGATCAGATTGGACTTTGGTATGGTTTGATGCAGGCAGTAGATTGTATTTGTAGATTTGCTTGGTATTTTCCCACAGAATAGTGATTTCCTGTTTTAACTTCCACAAGTGAATTCTGCAATTGTTTGTACCTTCTTTTTGAAAGGTGTATTTTTGACTGTTTCCTCATCTTTCCATAATTAAACTGGTTTCAGAGGAATGTGTACGTTGCTGATCTCACAGAAGAAGTGGTTTACACATCAGAAATGGCTTTGAACTGGATCACAAAAGGGGAAAGTAAGGCTATGCTGTATTTCCTTTCTTTAAGACACAACCACTTTTTTCAGTCACATTGTTTTCATTGTTAAATTCAAATAAAATAGGCATTGAGTCACACTTGTTTTTATTAGGCTAAAGTCAAAATATTTTTCTTAGACTGTAATAAATATAGTTGAAATATTACTCATTTTACAGAGAACAGACATTATGGAGTAACAAAAATGAATCAGAGAAGCAGTCGTTCACATACCATTTTTAGGATGGTAAGTAATTATTACTCTTTCTACGTCTGGTATTTCCAAGTAGGAATACACTGGTTTTTATACAAACTGCCCTTTCTGTCTAGATTTTGGAAAGCAGAGAGAAAGGTGAACCTTCTAACTGTGACGGCTCTATCAAGGTGTCCCATTTGGTAAGTATTCCTGAACCGTAAGTAATAATGCACCACTTGGACCAAAACAAACTTTAACTTAACTGTTGCTTGTTTCCTTTAATAAGAACCGTTAACTAAATAGGAAAAATATATATATAAATTAGCAGTTCAGCTGGTCTCATCAGTAGCATCAGATTACTAGCTGAAATGTAGAAAGAGTTGGGTATCTTTCTTCCTGTCGTGTCATCTCCTAAACTATGGACATAAGGACTATGGGAGTTCAGGCTTCAGTAGGATAAATAATCTTAAAATGCAGGGATTTTTTTAATCTCAGTTAATATAATTTAGCCTCGTGGGAGCAACAGAAAACCTTTAGGTACAATGACTAAAACATAAAATCATTATTTAAGTTTTTCTTAGGAACAGTAAGAAAATACTTGTATTACAAACGTTTTTTGTTTCCCCTCTGCGTGCTAAGCTGCCACTCTGCCACTGAGCTCCACCCCGCTCACATGCGCTGCTCTAAGCCCTGTGCCCCAGGGGTGATGCTACTTCACCCCAAAGCTCCAGGTGCCCCGGGTCCTGCTCAGCGGGCATCTCCTGCATGTGTGTGCTGCCCTGATGCACCCTGCTCCTCTTCCGGTTCCCCTCATGCTGCGCTGTCACAGCTGCCCCTTGCTTGCTCTCTTCCTACCCCCTCCCATCATTAATCTAGTCCCCATCTTCGGGGCCAGATTCTTCAGCTTGCGTGGGATTTAAGATTCTCCTGTTTGATTTGAAAACCTCAGGGAAAAATTTGATCTCTAATATATTTATTCATTTTCAGATTTGGTAAAATCAATTCTTAATTAATATCCAGTCCTTACTTTCTTCACCTTACTTTGCTGTAAAAGTGTATCAGTTATTTTAGTGGACTTTTTAAAACCCCAGCTTTTCTTTTCCAACTCTGGCCTGTGATAATTCACTGTAATTTGGCTTTTCTCTCAGTAATTTAGTTCTAATACTCACTTGTTCAGTGAGCTATGTGATGATTTCTCTCATCGTCCTCTGCTCTGTCTTCGTTCCTTAGAGACCCTTGGCCCAGGCTTTGGCCTGCCCGGCTGTGGGAATCTGCATGAGGAAGTCAACCCCAGAGAGGCCCCATCCAGCCTACGGAGTGGCCCTTGGCTCACGGGTGGCAGTGTCCAGGTTCCCTCGGTTCTGCCGCTTCTCCGGCCCGTCTTTCTGCTGCCTCCTAGCAGGCCCTCACAAGTGCTCTGTGGCCTTCACTCACCATTTCCATGCTAGTGACCGCTGGATACCCATTTCCTCTACAGTCTGTGTTCTAATCCACATCTCCCTGAAGACTGCCCTAATTGCATATCCCACCCTTATCTCATACTGCAGTCTATGTAAAACTAGATTTCTCCCTCCCATGAGGACTGTCCCTTTCTTCCGGTAAGCCAGCATCCTCCTGTCCACAGGCCGGACGCCTACGTGAACCACGCTCACCGTTTCTGTTTCCTCTGGGTGTTTGTCTCATTTCTTCTGGTTGCAGCTTTGTGCATTTCTGTGGGTGTCGCCTCCTTTAGACCCTCATATCCCTGGCGTCACCCCAGCACGATGCTCCTCCTTTCTTCAGGCCGTCACTCAGCTTTGTAATATTCCCACTGCACTCTGCTGATGTCACCTTCTGGGACAAGCCCAAGACCTTAACTGAGCTGTCTCAGTTCCATCCCTTCCACGCGAGCGCCTCTCGGGGATGGGGCTCCCAGCTCCCTCCTGCCTGCTTTCGCACCTGAACCCGCCCTGCCTCCACCCTTCATTGAGTGTCTGAGTCGTCTGCAGTGGACGCTGGGCAACAGAAATTAGATTCTTTCTGTGTCTTAAAAAGGAAACCTCTGAGAAAGGGCTGAAACTTTAGGAAACTAAGCACCACTGTGGCTTAATTACCTGCCCAAGGATCCCTAGAGAAGTGACCGACAGCCCTGGCTTCTTGCAGTGCATTCAGAGCTGGTACTTTCCCCGCTTCTGAGCTGGGCCTGTGCTCAGCACACGGAAGACGCCTCAGCCTCCCGCACCTCCCTTCTGTGCCCCTCCTCGCCACCCACGCCGCCCTGTCTTCTGTGCCCTGCACAGCCTCCTGTCTGGTGCCTGTGCCCCGCCCTCCACCCACTGCCCACATCTGCATCGGGTGTGTCCTTCCCGCTGCGTGAGGCCCTCCGGCCAGGGCGGCATTTAGGAAACCTAGTTCTCGGTCACCCTGGCTTGTCCCAGCTCCTGCTCCCCGGCTGTGGCACCCTCACCTGTCTGATCGCTGTGCTTTGAGACCTGGTGCCTGGCCTCTTCTCTCAATCTGAGTATCGTTTGCCTTGATCCTTCCACAACCGGTGCCCTCTTCCCTGTCACTCAGGTCTTAGTTGAAGGGTGAGCATTTTTTGTCACCCAGTTCAAACAACATGTTCTGTCTCTCCCAGCTCTCTATTCAGATCTCTTTTACATTTGTCACAACGCGTCTCATGGGCCTTTTTCTCTCCTCTCACGAGCCTTCTCCACTGGGGAGGACGCACAGGATCTGTGAGAGCAGAGGCCTTATTCGTCTGGTTCTCTGCCGTTACCAGAACCTGACATACTGTCTGGAGTACCCCAAGCAGTCACTTTTTCCAGTAGTGTTTTTGAAGTGAGAGATCCATGCTTTTAAAGATGCCACAGTGTAGTCAGGGCCACACACGACAGAGTCCATGCTCTGAGAACAAGTCCCACCCATGAAGAGCTCTGGGCGGTCAGTGGGTGATGAGTGATTCGCACACGGTGTGCGAGGAAGGGGAAGCTGGCAGGGCCGACTGGGAAGGTGACCTTTGCCTGGACGCTTGGATGGAGTGAGGGCAGACTGGAACAGAGGAGCCAGCTACACAGCAGCAGGGCCCGTGCAGGGCCGCGTCTGCCATGGGGAAGTCCCAGACTGCTGGTAGCATTATACGGCAGGTGTCCAAAAGGAGGAGGGGAGAGGTGTGGAGGGGAGAGGAATGGGGTGTCAGGGTGTGGAGGGGCAGCCCGGACACAGCTGCCCTCAGATGGGCCATGTACTAGAACTGTTCTTTCAGAACTAGGACTACAGGTCCCATTTGACCCCGCTATTCCCCTGCTGGGGATCTTCCCCAAAGAATTCAAAGAATCATGCCACAGTGATATATGTGCACCCATGTTCATAGCAGCACAGTCTGTAATAGCGAAAGCTTGGAAACAGCCCAAGTGACTATCGACTGGAAACTAGATGAAGAAGATGTGGTTTTTTTTATAAAATGGAGTACTACTCAGCCATAAATAATGAGAAACCAGAGACATTTATAGCTAAATGGATGCACATTGAGGCCATCCTCTTAAGTGAAATACATAGGACATACGTGTAAATACCGAATAGTTTCTCTAGTGTGAGAAATTGAAAGTGTAAATAAGGATGAAAATGATTAAAATCAATAACTGATAATTTGAAATAAGAAAAGGTCCAAGGGTTTGGGGATGGTGAAAGGAAAAGGGGAAAGGGAAGAAGGGAAAGAAAAAAATTATGAAAAAAAAATGGAATCAAACTCTGTGTGGATAGGGAAGGGTGGAGGGGGTGAAGGTTGCTCAGGTAATGGGAGTAAAAATAAAAACTAAGATGCATCATGTTCTGGGACAAACACCCAATGATAAATGTAAATGTATTTTATACCTAAAATGTACCAATAAATATATTTATTTTTAAATGGAATCAAACTCTGTGTGGATAGGGAAGGGTGGAGGGGGTGAAGGTTGCTCAGGTAATGGGAGAAAAAATAAAAACTAAGATGCATCATGTTCTGGGACAAACACCCAATGATAAATGTAAATGTATTTTATACCTAAAATGTACCAATAAATATATTTAAAAAATAAATTTAAAAAAATAAATAAAATTTAAAAAAATAAAACTGTTCTTTCAGTAGTGTGGATATTATTACAAAAATTACTGTCCTAAAGGTTTGCTCTCTTCCTACAGAATCTGGTCGATCTTGCAGGCAGTGAAAGAGCTGCCCAAACAGGAGCTGAAGGTAAACAGAACTCAGGAAATGAATTAGTCTCTCTGTCTTCCTACTGTGTGGGATGAAGCCTGCTACTGAGCATCTTTAAAACTAGTGAAGTAGTACTAATTTGCGATACAACTCTAACATAAACACCAACATCTGTGTCTAATTTACCTGGGCCATCTATTGAACTAAAATTGTGCTGTTGATAGTATTGCATAGCTGGAAAGCCCATGAGAGTCCCAGGGAAGCAGCCTAAGCTTTCATATTAGCGAGGAAATTAAGGAAAGCAGTGGGAGGCATCTTTCAGCACCACGTTCCGATCCTGGGGTCCTTCCCACATGGACACACTCCTGACATCTCAGCCCTTTCTAATGGTGTGGCCTGATCCCAGTAAAGACGCTGGGTGAGCAGTAGGCCGTGAGAGGAAAAAGCAGTAATCGGCATCACTCCATGGTTGGAAGTCCTTGGGTGCCTGTGTGTAATGATTTGGGAAAAGACAATCTAAACTGAGGAGGCAGAGAGCTCCATAGGGGGACAGGCTTTCCCTCCCTCCTTCCTGTGCTGTTTCTCTCAGGTAGTAACCTTTCGGGTTCACATAATAGGCACGGGAAGAGGACTCCCACCAGTGAGACTACAGGGGGTCTCGGGTCCAACCAAAACAAACACTTTCCCATCTCTGCCTTCCTGTCTAATGTCTCATAACTTTGCAGCTAAGTTTCTCATCTCCTGTACTGGAGGTTGGTTTTCATACTTGTCTAATTTATCCAGGTGTGCGACTCAAGGAAGGCTGTAATATAAACCGAAGCTTGTTTATTTTGGGTCAAGTGATCAAGAAACTAAGTGATGGACAGATTGGGTAAGTTTATCCCATTGGCCCTATTGCTTATGGTTTTCACTGGGTTAAAGATTAGCACTGGAGTGTTTTCTGTCACAAATACACAAAAGCTTTGGGATTCTCTCAGCATAGCTTCTTATACGTGTGACTGTAACCCACTGAATTGACTATTTTAAATATTTTTCATTATTTTGATCCGTCTCATAACCTGTAAAGAATTAGTTTTTAAAATTGACTTAGTGCTCTGCATTAAAAACCAACCACCTTTGTCATACAGAATTCTCAAGTCTCTTTCTCCCCAAACTCTTTTGCATGCTAAGTGGTTTCATAAATTACCGAGATAGCAAATTAACTCGAATTCTCCAAAATTCCCTGGGAGGAAATGCGAAAACTCGTATCATCTGCACGATCACACCGGTGTCTTTTGATGAAACCCTGACCACTCTGCAGGTGAGTTGGATTTTATCTCAGCCCAGTATGGGGAAAGAGCAGCTTTGAGGAGAAAAGATCACCGACTTCAATTAGATACAGTTGCCTTTGACATTGACATACACCCGTTGTGATAAAATTGATGCATTTTCTACTGAATAGCTTTCCTTCATTTAATTTTCCCAGACCTCAGTCATTTGAATCCCACCTCTACGATTTTTACCATAACTCACTTTGTATGCTTAATTTATAATAAAACCAAACTTTATATATCACTCACATAAATGAAAAACTAGTGTTACTTGCCACAAATAGGAAATTCTTTAATTTCTGCTAGCTAATGGATCCCTGCCTTTACTCTGAGCCCAAGTTCTGCATTTCTGTTTATTAAAAAAAGGGGATGGGGGGCTGAAAACTCAGTAGAACAGCTTTGTCACTGAAGGGCCCAGTGTTACATAATGGTGACCCTCGTGTGCCCACGGAAGTGCTCAGCCTGGGAAGCGCTGATCAGCTGTTGGGCCCTGGGTCAAGGCACTGTCAGTGCTGCAGAGCTAGAAACTCAAGTTCCTGGCTGCTCTGGAGTCTCACCCTCCAGCCTGATTGCTTGGAGCAGTCAGTTGTGAAGTGGGATGGAGTCCAGAGGGGAGGGAGGTGCTTCTGGCCTGAAGTGGACCCTCAGAGCAGGGCGGGCGCCCTGCGGTGGGTGGGACTCCACAGAGCAGTGTGTGTGTGCACGCACGCTGTTTCCTCAGCTGTCTCCAAGATCTGTTCTCAGCTCTCCCAAAGACCATGGCCAGGCTTAGTGGGTTGCAGAGAGTCATTAGAAAACTTTGAAGGCTCCCTATATTCAAACATGTTAAGCTCCCTGGGAAGGGTATTGTTCTGTTTCATTTAGTTTTATTTTTAAAGAAAACTTGTTGCAAGAAACCTAAACGTTATTATTAGAAATTTTTAGTATTGAACACGTTACTCTTTTGTATGTTTTTCCTAGTTTGCTAGCACTGCTAAATATATGAAGAATACTCCTTATGTCAACGAGGTGTCAAGTGATGAAGCTCTCCTGAAAAGATACAGAAAAGAAATAGTGGACCTCAAAAAGCAACTAGAGGAGGTGAGTGAATGCTCTTATTTTAATGGAGACCAGTTTAGAGTGACAAAGATGGGCCCAAGGACTCTCAGTTCAGGAATATTTGAGTCCCTACAGCTTAAGTTTAAAACAAGTGGGTTTTAACTAAGAAGAAATAATTTATAACAATTTAGTTTATTATGTAAACTGAATTTAATCTCTTGAAATTATTTTAGATTTTATTCTTTATTTCCAGAAGACAAGGTTTGAGATGTTTTTCCAAATGAACCTAGTAAAAATACTTTTTTAAAAAATTTCACAAGTACATATTGAGTTAGTTTAGAAAGAGAAATGTTGTATAGTTATTTAAATCAATCTTCTATTTTTTCACATCCCCTAAATTCTTCTGACCCTAAGATAGCAATCTAATAATATAGCATAGTCCTGCCCTTCTAATTGGTTTATTTTAATCATCGTGGTTCCATATTTTGTAAAAAAATCTTTCATTTTATTGGTCTTCTTAAAAGTCAACTAAAATATCAAACAGTAATCTTATAAGACAACCTCTCTATTTTTGCCTTTGGTATTTAAACTTTGGCTCTCATAACTTCTCTGCCTGTTATTCATGTTTCTTAGACTATTAATAGAATTGCCTGATAACATAATTGTCTACATATTGTCAAGAATAATGATGAGAAGAAGTATGTTTGAGAAATTATTGATTATAGTTATGGCATATGGGGTCTTACATGTAGGTATATTTTATTTCAATGAAATTAAAATCATAAATCACATGCAAATGTAATACTCTTTTCTTTAAGCTACTTTCAAGGTTTGAAAATCTAGCTACATTTATTATTAACATACCTCAATATTACATGCGGTAGGTAAATATAAAGACTCGGGCCCAGGAAATGGAAAAAGATCAGTTGGCCCAGCTTTTGGATGAAAAAGATTCACTTCAAAAAGTACAGGATGAGAAGATTCAGAACTTAACCCGGATGCTGGTGACCTCCTCTTCTCTCACGTCACAACAGGAATTAAAGGTAAAATGTAGAAGATGCAAGCTTGGACTTGGCATGTAGAGAACAGAACGGCAGGTCTGGGTTTATTGGGTGCTTAATGCTTCCTGCCCTTTAATACAGTGGATCCAGGGCAGCCAGGACGTGGCGGATGCACTGCCAGTTGGGTCGGGGGAGAAACAGGAGAAAGCAGGGTCCCTCAAAGGGTAAGGAAGGAGTGGGTCTGCCATGAGGAAGAACAAAAAGAAAGTGGTAGCAAGAGCCAAGTGAGCAGTTGGGAGTTTGTCTTTTTTGAAAGGCAAAAACATACAGACTTGAGTACAAGGCTGGGAAAAAGGCACAATGGGGAGGACAGATGCGCAGATACCTGAGGGCACAGACTCAGGAGGAAACAGCAGGGCGAGAGCAGGCGCACTGGTGGGCATGTGCCTCCCAGCTCATTGGAAGAGACTGGCATCGGAGTCCCACAGGTGACCTGGGCACAGCTTTCTGTCTGCCCTTTCCCCATGCAGCAGGGTGGGTGCCCCCATGGCCCCAGAGTTCCCCAAGGGTCATGAGTTGACAAGGGCCCCTTGGATGAGTCCTGGAAACTCGCAATTTAGAGGCTGAGGACACAGCTCGGTGACTTCTGAGCCCCTAGCTTGGATCGCCAGCAACAGAAACAAAAAGCAACAAGAACAGTGGTTCCGTCAGATTTGTTATGGTGTTAAACAGTGGTCTGGTCTGAAAAATGTGACTATTTTCTTGTACCTCAGAATATCCTTCAACTAGCAAGACAATCGATGGTTTTAAAAATTAGTGACTAGTTTCCTGTTTTCTTATGTCAGAACTCCACTCTAGGTAAAGTAATTTTGTTTTTTGTTTTTAGGCGAAAAGAAAACGAAGAGTCACTTGGTGCTTTGGCAAAATTAACAAAATGAAGGACTCAAACTATGTAAATGAATTTAGTATGCCAGCAAATGTGACAACAAGGAGACACAGGAGCGCCGTCACTGTGTTGGGGGAAATCGATGAGTGTGAGTGAGCGCCTCTCTGTGCTAACCCAGGGGAGCCCCTGGACAGACAACTGCGTAACTCACTGTGATAAAGATGTTGGAATAAAATGTATTTTAGGGTTGCAATGGAGATTATAATTGAAAAATAAGTAATTTTTTTAAAGTAAACTTTGTGTGACTTCCAGATCTCCCAAGAATGATACACTAGTTGAAATACATGAGCAAAGATATTTTTGTTTATTGTTGTTCTCATTATTATTCATTTAAATTAGTAGAGTATTCGTATAACAGGCCTTAAACTTTGCCCCATCTTTAAAGGATGGCGTTTATGTAGAAATCTGTTTCAAAATATAAATTTACTCAGTGATCAGTTTTCAAATTCAGAATTTGTCCTTTTTACCTCTATGGTGATAAAAATCTTTTGTTTTATCACTAAGCCCAGCCAGCTGTCTTAATTCACACAGAACTGTCACATCTGTTGCCATGTATTCTTGGCACTCTGAGGACATGCTAACGTGAGCTTATTACCTCTATCACTTTTTTTAATGACGTTTAATTTGACTTTTAGGGAACATTATATGTGTTAATGTGCACATTTCTTTTCCCCCTAATTGTAGCTCTCTGTTTGGAGTCTGATTTCTTCTGCAATACTCCTGATACATTAACTGAGATAGAGTGGAATTCAGCAACAAAGCTACTAAATGAGGTAACATTTTATAGAACGTGATCTTATGTTGGTTTTTGTGGTTTTGTTTAGCTCCTCTCTAGTTCTGACTTAATAGCAGTTTGAGTTCTAATGAAGATTTCCCTCACCTTTTTGTCTAGTGAAAACTACAAGACATTTAGAGAGAGTCTAAAATGTTTATAAGGCAGGCATGCACCAATAGGTAAACATTTGCTGCTAGTTCTTTACCAGAAGACCCTAGTCTCTACCTGGTTTGCTTGGGGGTAAAAGATTAATTTAAGAGCATCAGTATACCCAGGCATAAGTCCAAGAGTGATGGATGCATCAGAGAGGCATCATGTCACTGAATGATACTAGAAATAAAAGTCAGTGTACCATTCGTTGTCCCATTGCCTCCTTTGCCCACTGGCTCTGCAACTCCCCACATGCCCAGGCCCATAGATGCCCACTCCCCACGTGAAAGGCGTGACTCACATTTGCACATAACCCGTGCCCACCCTGCGGCACACTCAGACTAGGTTACTGGTTACCCCAACACAGCGGAAGTGCCAAGCACTACTTACTACACTGTATTCTTTAGGGAATGGTAACTGGGGGCGGGGGGGGTTGCCCTGCATTTAAGGACTGGCGCGGCCACTGAGGGCTGACCACACTCTCTCTCTCTGAGGTTAGTCGCATCCACACGTGAGGAGCTGCAGGGACAGAGGGCTTATGGCAGAGTCTGCAGAGCCAGAGAGAAGGGTGCTGTGGGGAGCCCTGCTGTAGTTAGCATCCAGGGTTGCTCTCCAGATTGCCCATGTTCAAGACAAGTCGTATTCTTGTGTCCACTTGTTTATTAAAGAAAGCATTGTTTTATTTGTAATACAATCATACTTCCTGGTAATCATTATCATTGGTTAGTACAGGCAAAGTGCTTTTATATCCCTGAGTCATATTCTAGGAGTTTGTTGTCTTTGTTTTTAATTCCTAATTTAAGTTATGTGGTTTTTTTTTTTAATCTCTTTCCCGTAATGGTATGGTAAAACTTACCCCATTAGAGACTGAGAGGGCAGACATAGTATTTTGCTTCCTTCCTGAATTGAGTCATCTGAAAAATAAAATAGGAGTCAAACACATGAATCATTAAATAATCAGCTTTAACACTGAGGCGCTGAAGGGTTTGTGGTAACGTGGGCTGCAGACATTTACCTTCCCACTGGGGCTTTCCCTGAAGGTGGAGGCACTCTTATTATTTATATCAAAGGTACATTCATTATTAATTTAAAGAAAAGACGGTGTGGTTTGAATCCCTCTGATTGAAAAACTTGTTTTTGTTTATAATAGGAAAACTTAGAAAGTGAGTTCAACTCACTTCTTGCTAAATATGATAATCTGGTATTGGACTATGAACAACTAAGAAGAGAAAATGAAGAAATGGGATTAAAATTAAAAGAAAAAAATGACTTGGATGAATTTGAGGCTCTAGAAAGAAAAACTGAAAAAGATCAAGAGGTAAGACAAATAGAGATGTCAAATCAAACTAAATCATACATTGAAAAGAGATACCATTCTCTGAAAGGTTTTTATTTCTAAGATTGAGATACTAAGGATTAACTTTTTTTATATGTGTGCACAATGTAGAGAATCTAAGAAATACAGTATTTAGTTTATATTGTTTTTAAAACAGTTAAGTCACTTGTGCTTCTGTCGTGTTTTGGGGAATATAGTGGCAGAAAAAGGAATTGAAAACATCTGGGAGGGGGCTGAGTGGACCTGCTGGGCTTGTCCTGAGGAAAAAGCCACTCCCTGCTGAGACCTATATGGATGTTAATGGATGCCATGCATGAATGAATTTCTTTCTCTAGGAAGTGTACCTATTCCTGTGTAGTTAAAATGTTGTTGGAATAGCTAGAGAAACCGGTTAATGAATGAAACCATTAGACTGCAGGCACTCCAGATTGCCCTCAGATTTCAGCAACTCCCTAGTGTGGAGTATTTTAGCCTCCACAGACACCATGAAGTTGTTTTGCAGAAATTTTGAGTACATATTCATGTATCCGGAAGGAGAATCCGCAGCTGTTACCAGACTTGCAAAGCGATCTGTAACCCTCCACAAAGAGCACGCCTGTGTGTGGGTGACCGAAGCTGCTTCTCAGGGGCTTCTGAGTGGGCTTCAGTCAGTGAAACAAGGCTTTCCTGAAAGGGAGGTGGCCCTAGACCATGGTATCCTGGATACAAGTCCCCAAATGCAAGCCCGGTTTTGGAGCTTAAAAACCTACATTTTTGGAGAAAAGTTTGACGAAAAGTCAAATTATGGTCTTGGGACAGGTGTTCATTTCCCTGGTTTTCCATAACCCCATAAGTGTTTTATGAAAAATCACAGATAATTTTCAGTTGAGATGATAGTGACAGGATGCTTAAGTAGTAAATTTTAGAGGAATAAAAAGTAAAGGATAATAAATAAGGCTTCGCAGTAAAAGAAAAATCCATTCACCTATTTTTAATTTGATTTGTTTAACTTTATAATTTCCATAAGTTGGAAATGTTTAAATGCTTGTTTTATGAAGTTTAATACTTCGTTTCATCCGCTGAAAATCACAGGTGAAATTTTTACTACCATGTCACAGTGGATTAACTGCTGATCTAATCATGTTTAAATCATACTCACTTCTCACACATTTTACATCCTTAAATAGCATGTCATTTGGGCTTTACACTTTCACCTACAGCAGTTGCTAATCCTATTTTATTTGTGAGAATCAAAACAGATGAGGTGCAGATTATTTGGTTCTCAATGCTAAATGTGATTTATTTTTTTTCTTTTTCTACATGACAGTTAAAAATAGCCAGGGAACCAAAAAGATGGAGCCAATTTAAATATTCCAACTAAAAACTACATGTGTGGCTCATACATTTCTATTTTCAGCACTGACCTAACATTGGGATGTCAACTCTAGCACTAATCTGAAATCTAAAACTAGTCAAAGTAGTTAAGCATCCAGAAAATATTGCTTAGACAAGATACCATTTTCTTAAGTCCCTTACATTCCATTAGAATTTACTTTTATTTAAGTGCTCATCCAATTGAACTTTAAATAATTCTAAGGCAAATATATTTCTTGGACAATTCTAGTTTACTTGTTTTGAACACAAAACTTTCTGGTACTCAAAAATTTAATGCAGATAATTTGGGAGAAGGGAAACTTTAATAGAAATACTTATCCCTTTCTACTTTAGATAGTTGAACAATATAAAATGATAGCATTAACTTTCCAGTATTTTCTGTAGAATAAATCAAGGTAATAGTTGATAATCCCATACCTTTGTAGCTTGGTTGAGCAGTGATATTATAGACATCAGACAACCCTAATCCAAACCTAGATTCCAAATCACAGCTCATTAAAAAAGTATGTCAGTGTACAGCCAGATAAATGATTTATGATAATAAAATAATCTCAGCCAAGTGTGGTGGTACTTGCCTGTAATCCCAGCACTCTGGGAGGCTGAGGCAGGAGGATGTCTGGTCAAACCGAACCTGGGCAACTTAGTGTGAGATCTTGTCTCAATTAAAAAGGGTGGGGGTAAGCCGGGGTTATAGCTCATCATGAAGACCCTTCGTTTAATTCCCAGTGCTAAAACAAAAAATTTTGTAGGATGAACATGTTTCTATACTTACCCCAAACAAAAACCTATTAAAAGTGTGTCTTTGAAATTTTGATTACCACTTTACTAGCTCCTATTGGTGATTACTAATTTGCTAATGATAGCATTGGAGTTAATAAAGCAGATTATGTAATGTGTCGGGGTCAGGCCCAGGTTCTCTCCCTGTTCGCTGGCTCTGTGGGTCTGGACCATGTTTGTTATATTTTGAATACTGATGTGCTCTGTTGCGGTAGCTTCTCACCCCTCTACCTCTGTTGGGCAATCTGAAGCTTTGCTTTATTAACTGTCGTCCTCTTCTGGTGCCTGTTCACATGCTCTTACAGGTCCAACTAATTCACGAAATCTCCAACCTAAAGAATTTAGTTAAGCACGCAGAAGTGTATAACCAGGACCTTGAGGTGAGCATTCGTGTCGCTGTTTCTGTTGCTAACGAGAACTGTAAAACATACATGACATTGAACGCGACTACAGAAAATAGAAGAATTACTCTTTAAATATTAATACTTGAATTTTACTGTCAGTTTAAACTATTATGTTTTTTAATCCTGTCAAATCCAAGTCAAATACTAAATTGTTTCATTCTTCTTTGATTGTTTTAGAATGAACTAAGCTCCAAAGTAGAACTACTCAGAGAAAAGGAAGCGCAGATTAAGAACCTGCAGAAATACATAGACTCCCAGAAGGCAGAGAAAGCACCATCGGCCTTGCCGTTCTCATCGGTAAAAATCAGGGTCCCTTCCCTGTGCCATCCTTTGGCATTTCTAGTTTGCCGGGGTCGTGGGTGCTTACACTGGGCCAACTGCACGGTATGTAGTTGTCGCCAGTGATACATATTTCATCTGTCAGCCCTGTGCCAAAGGGACTGTTCCAGTCATTGCCACTTTACAAATAAATACACGTAGGAAGTTTAATGTGTCATTCTTTGATTAAATGTAAGGAAGTTAGGGACAAGCTTCCATTAGAAGTAAGCAATTCATCAGAAACTTAGCAAGACCTTGTCTCTTAAATTAAAAATAAAAAGATGCTGGGCCAGGGATTTAGCTCAATTGCATCGTGCCTGCCTCACAAGCACAAGGTCCTTAGTTCGATCCCCAGTAGCAAAAACAAAAAATAAATAAAAAGATGGTGAAGCTATAGCTCAGTGCATAGGCCCTGGGTTCATTCCCCAGTCCTGAAAAATAGATAAATCAAAAAGCTTCTCATATTTTCAGTTCTTTCATACAAATGCTTGTAGAAGTGTATATTAAAGATCTTAAGGTAAACATTTGCATTGGAATTGATGAGTAACTATAAGATATAGATCATAAATAGATTAGCATGAGTTAAATTCATTAATAGATATCAAGTATTCTCATTATAATTCAAGTAACTGTTTATCCCTTTTAGTTTCTTACAGTATTTCCGTACATTGATATTGGAGGGGGGGGGTATTTGTTCTTGTTTTGAGTTTTGCTTTGGTGGTTCTAGGCATTGAGCCCAGGACCACCTGGCACACAATAGGCAAGCACTGCATCACTGATAGACATCTCTAGCCCTGTGCATTGCTTTTATATTTTCATTATGGAAAACATGGTTTCTTTTCATTTGTGTGAACATTAGCATACCTTTACCCCTTTTGAGCAGGTAGAAATAATGTTTCTAAAGTACTCAAATCTCCTAAAATTGGATCTCACTGACTCCCTTTTGTGATTTGTCTAGGAAAACAGTGAAGACCCAAAACAAATGAGGCAGTCTTTTTTTGATGCTGAGACTGTAGCCCTTGATGCCAAGAGAGAATCAGCCTTTCTTCGAAGTGAAAATCTGGAACTGAAAGAGAAAATGGTAAGAAGTGTTTTAAAAGTTTGTAACAAAGCTGTTAGAATGATCATTACATTTTTGTGACTTTTCAGTGTTTCTCTTAATAGAAAGAACTTGCAAATTCTTGCAAACAAATGGAAATTGATACTCAGTTATATCAAAGCCAGTTGGAGGCAAAAAAGAAAATTCAAGTTGATCTGGAGAAAGAATTACAATCTGCCTTTAATGAGATAACAAAACTCACCTCCCTTGTAGATGGCAAACTTCCAAAAGGTATTTTATAATTTCAGACATCTCTTTGCAAATCTGACTTCCTTTAAAACATACCCAAATGATTTGACAACTATAGTCTAATAATAAGTAAAATTCCACTAGGCTGTTTTCTTCAATAACTTAATGTTCAATTTTAATATCATTTGGTGCCAGTGTTTATAAAGACTTCCATAAGGTTCAACTCATACTAGCTTAAAATGATTTTTCAAATACATTGGTCCTGATTTTGAAAAGGTTGGCCCAAGAGCTATTGAAAGTTAGATTACCCATTGCCAGCATTGTTCTCTAAATTACCAAACGCTTCCTAGATTTGCTCTGCAATTTGGAATTGGAAAGGAGGATTACAGATCTGCAGAAAGAACTGAATAAAGAAGTTAAAGAAAACAAAGCTTTACAGAAGCAAGTCAGTTTGCTGTCAGAGCTGAAATCTCTGCCCTCTGAAGTAGAAATGCTGAGGAAAGAGGTGAGCAGAATTTTAAGCAGTCAACTCTAGTTTTGGAATAAAAATCTTTGAAATACTGCCTTAAGTATTTTGATACAGTTTATGTCTACAAAGCAGAAGAGAGATACTGTAAACGTTTCACTCAGTGTTAGCAGTAGAAATGAGAATAGTTTCCTCTGGTTTGTGTTTATGCACTGGAAGGAAGGAAGAGGCTTTCAAAGGTATGTAGCAGTGTGCCTGGCAGCAGGGCCCGCACAGCTGGTGTTCCTGTGCTCCTTACGGGGGGCTGCTCTTGGTCCTCACCTTTTCTCTGCTCGTCTGTCACTGTGCTGAATAAAAATAAATAAAGAGCTGAAGGGTGGCGTGGAGGAGCTCTCGGGCCCATACAGGCTGTCAGGCATGAAGGATGTCATAAGCCCGCAGCCTGCCAGCCTTTTCTTCCTTCATCCTTTCTAAAAGAAAGAAAAATGGCAAGAATCTGAGTAGTACTTAACCACATGCCAACATTGTACTAAAGACCTTTAGAAACACTGTTTTTAAATAACACTACCTTTTTTTTTTCTTTTTCTTTTTTGGTACCGGGGATCGGGGTCCCTGTACTTGCAAGGCAGGCAGCAGAACCACTGAACTAAATCCCTGGCCCAATAACACTACTTTTTAAAACTACCTGCTATCACTTCTCAGCCTTTTAGCTAAGATGAAGCATAAAAGTAAAGTGCTACCTTTTATCCCCAAAACAGTTACAGACTAGTAGCTGAGCCCTGGAGATCCACCTCTCAGGCTCACGACAGCGGCCCCTTGTGTATTACTCTCTTTCCTTGGCTCTCCTCTATTTACCTCTTCCCTTGTTTTTCACAGTGATTTCACTGTATGTAGACTGGATATGGATTAATTTTTTAATAATGCTTTTTAAATTTTAAACATTATCCTTTTAAATTATTCTTTAACTTTTTGGAAGTCTGAGCTGCAATCAAAGCCTTTAGAAAAATAAAATAAGTAATTCCAAGAACCCTAAATGCCAGCTGCAGGATACAGTTAGAAAATCCTTTAGAATGGTAAGGAAATCAGCACCTCAACTGTTTCATGACTTCCTGTACCAGGCAGTCCTTACTACAACCCAGAGAGATTGGAAAAAAACATTGAAGGTGAAGTGGGAAAAGTTAGGGGACAATATGGACATTGCCTTTCCTCAGCCAGCTCTTTCTTAATTTAAGTGACTCCTTTCCCTCTGAGGAACACATTCTCCTGAACATTACTGCAGCAGATCCTACATTGCTAACACCCCTAAATCTTAATCTCTTCCAGATCCGCGATACGTCAGAAGAGCTCTCTGTGATAACATCAGAAAAAGACAGGTTGTGTTCTGAAGTAACTCAGAAGGAGAGCAGCATTCAAGGTTTACTTGAAGAAATTGGGAAAACTAAAGATGACCTGGCCGCCGCCCAGTTGAATTACAAAAGCACTGAGCGAGCATTTCAAGATTTCAGAATCCTTCCTATGGCACTGGAGCAAAAATATAAAACGCTCCATGAGGAGAATGAGAGAATGAATCAGGAAATGGGAGACCTCTCTAAAGAAGCAGAACACCTTCGGTTGAGCTTGGACTCGGTGAAGACTGAGGTTGGTGCCAAGTGCTCTCTGGGAAGTGCTGCTCTGTCTCTTTGAGTTTGATTTTACTTATCCATAGAATGCTCCGCTTTTACTATGCCCGCCTACTGTCTGTTGTTTTAAAGCTTTCTCACAACACCCAGGAGTTTCAGCAGAAAACAGCCGAGGGCCAAGAAAGGGTGTGTGAGGTGGAACAGCTGAAGGAAGAGCTGGAGAGGAGAGATGCCCAGCTGCGAGCTGCAGAAGAGCAGAAGACGCTGGTGACCGAGAGGCTGCAGCAGAGCCTGGAGGCAGTGAGAAGCCTGGGCCAGGAGAAGGAGGCCCTGAGCCAGCTCCGAGACAGCCTGCAGGCCGAGCGGGACCAGCTCTGCAGCGACATCCAGGACACGGTGAGCATGGTAAGGCGCAGTGCTCACACGCAGGAGCCATCGCTTGGTACTTGTGACCAGGAAGCAGTTATACAATGACTGTGCTTTCCATGCTAATGGAAATCATTTCGTGTTTCCCCACGAAGAACATAGACACGCAGGAACAGCTGCGAAACACCCTGGAGTCCCTGAGGCAGCACCAGGAAATGATTAACACATTGAAAAGGAGACTTTCCGAGGAGACATCCAGGAATTTGCATGCAGAGGAAAACGTCAGAGAAACTGAGCATGGATTTCACCAAGAGGTGAAGGGTGTTGATTTCCAGATTTTCCGTGTATTTATTTCTATATAAACTTTCTCTTTAACCCCAAACACTTAAAATACCATGTAGTCTTGGTTTTGTTAATTCACGGTGGTAACAAGCAGCACTTTTACAAGCTTAATGTCTTTAAAGAAACCTCTAATAAAATTGCTGACAATCAATTTGAAAAGAAAGGGGCAAAAAAGTATTAATTCAGACTTTGAAGACTTAATATTTCCTGAGACTTGATGTATTTTGAGTATCTTTAAAGGCCTTTCTGAATCCTAACAAGAAAGATTGACTACTATTAATTATGGCTAAAACATTAATTTTATGTCAGATTTTCTATATTAAAGTTGCTTAGAGTTCAGTGTTCAGTCCGATATGGGGAAGATTATACAGAGGTTTCATTTACTGTAGCTTTCTCCTTTCCCAGAATACCTTTAAAATATGTATAACAGAATTTTTTAAGTACTATCTTTTATTTTTATTATACCTTATACCATTGAATCCAGAATCTAACTACTATAATTTTAAAATATCCTTTAATAGGAGATGAGTAAAGAAACCTTTCATACATCCAGAGTTTGAAGAGTATACAGTATATATATTTCTTTAGTTTGTGGTAAAATGCTTATAACATAAAATTTACCCCCTTAATAATTTACAAGTCTATAGTTGAATAGTGTTACGTTCTAGTATATTATTTTACCACCAATTTTCAGAACTATTTTCATCTTGCAAAACTGAAACTGTATCCATTAAATAACACCTCTAAGTTCAGATTTGTAGTGTACCTTGGGTATCAGTACAGAAAAGAATTTCAGTCTACTTTGTATTTTTATATAATGTCTTAGGAGTAAAGATGCAAGATTCTGAATTGTAAAATCCGACAGACCAGTCAGCTTGAATTAGTGTATTGTGGAGTTAGCTCTGTGCTCACACATATTCCATTCGGTAAAAGCAGAGTGAAGTACAATCTGGTTTATCTGTGTCCTCCATGGAGAACTAAGCAGCTACTAAAGGTCATGATTTGAAGATTCCTCAGCAGCATGAGGAAACATGGATGATCTAAGTGGAAAAGGCAGGGCCTAGAAACATCATACCTGTGTAAACCAAGTAGAACAGCTCGTGTTTATAAAAACCTTAATGGAAGGAAATATGTTCTAACAGTGACTTTGTGAAGTTGATGACTTTTTTGGATGATTTCTTTCCTTTGTTTTCCTTTTTTCTTTCTAACGTGATTATAGATTATCATAAATACTTTCAAAAACGTGTGCTCAGTATGGGCTGAATGATGTCAATCTTCGTTTTCCTTTGCCAAAAGTCTGTATGTCAGGTTACCTTTGCTTATGGTGCATTGATGGATTAATGAATTATTATGACATGCTTTTCTTAAGTATAGAAAAACTATTAACAAAAGTACATTATACTGTTACAAAATGAGATAGGTCTCTCTCAAAATCCTTTTGTCCTCTTGTAAAACTCCAGCTTCTTACAGGTACAGCCACTCTGAAAGATGAAGCTTTGTTGGAAGAGGGGGTAGGGATGACACTAGGGGGGGACATAAAGTGATAAGAGTCCAGAGTCGTCTGCTCCTTCCTCAGAAGTGAAAGCAAAGCACTGCCAGTATGCATCTCAGGAAATATTTATAGACCATGGGTAGAAAGGAAGGGCATATATCTTTTAGCTGTGTGATTGAAGTAAGTTGGAATCCATAGTCAGGTTAACCAATACATGAAGATAACTATAATATTCACAGCTGCCCAGGTTGTTCTCGTCTGTGAACTGGTCAAGGACACAGGCGGTGGTGCGTGACTTTCGGCGTGCAGCCTCCCCTCCCTGGAGCGACACTGCTCCCCAGGCACATGGGGATGACACTCCCTCATAGGGCTGGGGGGACAGACAAAATGTGCTGAGGTATGAGAATAGTACCTGGCACACAACGATACCTAAGTGTTAGCTGTTTTATCAATACTGTATTAAAGTGGTTGTTGTTAAGTACCTGAGAAATTCTTCTTTAATTTCTATTTTAGATGATTGGCATAGATGAAAAGCAGAATGTGGAAGCCAAAACAACTGGAACACTGATTGCTGGTATGAAGGACAGTGAGGTAGTTGAGCAACAAAAGAAGATATGTTCTTTAATACAAGAGAAAAATGAATTCCAACAAATGCTAGAAAGTATTACAGCAGAAAAAGAACAGTTGAAGACTGATCTAAAGGAAAATATTGAAATGGTAGGATTGGCCACTGTATATCCGTGGCAGTACATTGTCTACTTTGTTGGGGATTTTTAACAACTTTATGAGGTGTAATCGATTAGCAATAAATGGACAGTTTGATGGCTTTCGACAAACATCTCTGCCCGTGGGCTCCCTTAACGGAGTTACGAGGTCACAGGGAGGTGTGCGTTGAACTTGATGAGAGTTTGCGACACTGATTTCCAAGTTGGTTTTACCATTTCACATCCCCATCAGCAAATTAAGAGAATTCTGGGACTTCACACCCTCCCTCACCAACACTTCATCTTTATTGGTACATTTAGTTCCAGCTCTTCTGATGAACATGGACTTTATTGTTTTCGTTCACTTTTCCTTTGTAGTGAAAAAAAAAATGTTGACATTTTCATATCCTTATTGGCTATTGTATGACTTCTGTAATTTATTGTCTCAGTAATGTGTTGTAGATTTTCAATGTGCAGGTCTTTTTACACATTTTTGTTACATTTATGCCAAAGTGTTATTTATCCTGTTTTAATTTTTTAATTTTACTTTCAAATGTTGGTTTTGCCAGTATCTTTACATTAGTTTCAATTTGTATCTATTTAAAGGCAATATATTATTACTACAGGTTGAAATTAATAATTTGAGAAGTCCGCCATGGATTACATTGTTTTTCGGTTGTTTTACTGGTGTAAATTTGGTTGTTTTTTGGTTGTCTTTTCCATGTTTCCCTGGAGTAAGTGTGCAAACATGAATTGTTTGGCTCCATTTCTGGCTTATGTTTCTGTGCCCTTGATACTTGAGAACATCACTGTGTGAGCTTTAGTGACAGATTGGTCCGCGTCATGCCAGCAGGGTGACTGCCGCTCTGGACTTACTTGTGATCAGTGCTTAAAACCAAAGCCACCCAGCATGTGGAAAACCCTTAACTTCAGTCTCATCTTCTGTTTTTGGAATCTCAGCAGCTGTCTCTTGGTTTAGCCATCAAAATGAGGTTTAGGCACTTGTGACAGAATGATAAATCCATTTCTAAGTCTCATGATAGTAACTGGGCAATAAAGAAAGATGAAAAGTAGATTCTTGGCATCTGTATGACTAAAGACTTGCTTTCTTTACTTTAGTCCTTTTCTATATAGTCTGCCCTAATTTATTTATTTGCAGGCAGAGTTAAATGCTGACTTTTTAACCTGTTTTCTTAAATATAAAAGCTAATGTTATATATTTTAATCTCAACTTTTTAAAAATTTCCAGACCATTGAAAATCAGGAAGAATTAAGAATTCTTGGAGATGAACTTAAAAGGCAACAAGAAATAGTAGCACAGGAAAAGAACCATGCCATAAAGAAAGATGAAGAGCTTGCCAGGACCTGTGAGAGACTAGCAGAAGTTGAAGAAAAGCTAAAGGAAAAGGTAAATTCTTAAACCTGTCTTCCTGGCCATTTTCCTGACTAAACCTTTTTTCCATTCCCATCATCCTAAATGCAGGGAGAGCATATATCCCTAAAATGAACAGATCTCATTGCTGATATTTGAGACAGCTTCACTTGTACTGAGATCTTAGCTAACGTCCCTTGTGAGGGTTGTATTATTCTAGAGTCCACACGTGAGTCGGGCCCTGTGTCCTCTAAACTAATCAAAAGGTATCAGCACTGATCAGCAGACACTGTCCTGGGCACTTGCGATACACACTGGTCAGCAAAACCTACTAAGATGTGCCGGTGACCCTTTACACTATAAGACTTAACCAGGAGAACCATGTCCTAAATGTCTGCAGCTTCCTGGGCCACTGTTACAACACATGTGTAAGGCCTGAGCTCCTGCAGCAAACTACGGCCTGAGGGATTCTGAAACACACAGAGACCTTTCTGTTTCAGCTAAGCGTAGGGGTCCTAGAAGTGCACAACTGAAGTGAGATCTCTGAAGGCTTAGGGGAGAGCCCTTCCTCGCCACCTCCAGGCTGCTGGTGTCTCCCAGCTACCCTTGGCGTTTCCTGGCACCACTCTGACCTCTGCCTCCATCTCCATGTGACCTTCTTATCTGGGCATCTCTCTGTCCTTTTCTGTTTCCTGTAAATACACTGTCCTCACTTTGAGGGCTTGCCCTAATCAGTTAGTCTCTTTTGATGGTCCTTCCTAATTACATCTGCAACTATCGGAACGTGGGGTAGCACACAATTTAACCAATGATAAACACCATGCCTAAAAGGTTGGTTTACTTTTTTAATGTTTCTTGACTGTCTGTTGGGGCAGGACATGGAGCTGAGTTAATAATTTTACATAAAAATTTGGGAAAATATAGCCAAAATGATAATTGTAAAAATTGTACATCTTAAGAGTGAACAACTCCAAGAAAAACAACAACAGCTTCTTAATACACAAGAGGAGATGAGTGAGATACAGAAAAAGATGAATGAAATGGAGAAGCTAAAGAGTGAGATACAGAACCAAGAATCCAGGTTGGAACACTTGGAAATGGAGAGGCTTGAGCTGATTCAGAAACTACATGAAAACTGTGAGGAAATGAAATCTATAACCAAAGAGAGAAATGATCTGAAGGAATTACGGGAGTCATTTGAAGTAGAAAGAGATCACCTTAAAGAATACATAAGCAAAATTGAAGCTGTAGTAAGTTACACCCTTCTTCGCCTGTTGAATGTTCCTTTAAAATCTGGGCCCGTTGGAAGGGAGAGCAATGTCAGGATAACATTCTCACTCTGTTCTCTAAATCTCACTTGCTGGTGAAGGGCCGACATACAGAAGAGGAGCTCAGCGTTGCCCACCTGCATCTAAAAGAACACCAGAAAACTATCGCTGAGCTCAGAAGCAGCATTGCTGAGAAGGAAGCTCAGATAGGAAATGCTCAGGAGGACTTGGAGAAATCCACTACCGAAGTGGAAGAGCAGGTATGGCTTCTCCTCCTCTTGTCTTTTTCTTCCTGGCTGTTTCCTTGGAAGGAAAGCTGAGCGCTGAGCCGTGACTATGCTCTGGTCCACTCATGGATCAAGTGAGTGTTCACCAACTGCCAGTGGCGAGCACAGCCCTGGTTATCACACAGCAGTGGAACCAGGAGACCACAGTGCCTGGTCCTTCTGTTCCTCATGGAAAGGCGACCAGAGCACTGAGGCAGATAATGATGAGTGCTGTGGAGAAAATGAAATGCAGGGCTAGCTGGGCCTACTCTGTGCCAAGCGTCAAGACTGTGGGCACCAGTGAGACGCTGTTCTGTTTTCCCAGTGTAGGCTCTGTTTTTTTAATCTTGTAAGTGAGCCCTGGGTTCAATCCCTGGGACTGCCAAAAAGAGGAAGTTACAGCAGAATGTAAGTAACAGAAAAGTCCTTAACAGCCTCAGTAGGAATCAAAGGAAGTTGAGTGGGAGTGTGATCCCCAGTAGGACCTGAGGGTTCAGGGTCACTTAGGTTGCTGGGGGAAGTGTCCTGATCTTTTCCTCTTAAGAACTTCCAATCGTGCCTTCCAGGCAGTAACTTGGTACTTTATGAATTTCACAAGGTCCCAGTACCTCATGAGGAGCAGAAGCCATTTCCTACCATGAAAGCAGGAGGTGAGATTCAGGACGCAGTGAGGGGGCTGGAGCCGCTGGGGGAACAGTCCACAGCCGAGGGTCTGACAGAGGCGGAAAGGCTCAGGCTGATGGAAGAACTTCAGGAAAGCCAGGAAGAGATAAAATGTCTCACTCAGGAAAGGGATGACCTTAAAATAGTCAAAGAAGCTCTTGAAGTTGAACGAGACCATCTGAAAGAATACATCAGAGAAACTTCAGTTAAAGTAAGTTTCATCTTTTCCTCCCACTTAATTAGTATTTTATCAGAATCAAGTCTTTAGAAAAGGGGTGTTGGTGTTGAGTTAAAATGTGGCTGTCAGTTTTAGCTATCTTAATCATGAGGTGACTGGAAACAATAAAATGCTCATGAAGGACCGAGGACATGGCCCAGTATTAGAGCATTTGCCTGGAATGTGTGGCGCCCTGGCTTCCGTCCCTAGTGCAGTAAAACAAAACAAAAAATGCTGTGAATACTAGAAAACTATTTAAGCTAAGAGAAAATGTTTCAGAGAAGACAGCTGTCTTAGTTAACTATTTTTGTTACTGAGACAAAATACCCAACATCCAAGTTAAAGGAGGAAAGGTTTATTTTTTCTCACAGTTTCTAGAGGTTTCAGTCCATAATCAGCTGGCCCCAAGGCATGGTGGCATGGCAGAGGAGAAACAGTTCATGGTGGGCAGAAGGCAGCAAGCATCATAGTAGCAAAGCAGCAAGCAACACCTATCCAGGCTACACGCCCTTAGGGCAGTTAGCACGCACACCCATGGTGGGCCTTCTCGTTATCCACACTCAGAACTATGCCAAACCAATCAGTGGACTAATAAAGTAGTCACACACCCTTGATCCATCATCACACACTCTAGATCCAGCCACCTGTGCTTGCTTCGGCAGCACATATACTAGATCCAGCCACCTCTGAAAAGCCCCAGTGACTCCATGAGGCTTTGGAGGGACATCTAGACACAAGCCTTAACAAGAACTGTTTTCTTAAATATTCCAAAATGATTTAGAAGAAGCTAAACAGAATTATAAGAAAGAGGAGTGCCAAAAATGAATAATTTCTTCCCTTTAAACCTTTTCCTCCAACATTGCACACAACACTTTGTCCCCGCAAGTGTTGTCCCAGCTGGTGCAACCATCCCCATTGCCACTCTGACTTCCACTCGCCAAACCTTGATTCTAGTATGTGCATGTGTGCAAGTCCTGCTGCCTTTCTCTCTCCACAGCCTCCACAGTCCACAGTCGCCATGACTTCCTTCTGCCTCCCACCATGGCCTCCTGGTTGTCTCTCCACACTCATTCTCTCATCCATTCCCACTTGGGGTCCAGCTGACTTCATGACTCCTTAAATATCCTACTGTTTCTCTCAGAATCAGTTCTGGCGTCCCCACCTGCCCGTAGGGGCTGCCGTCCCTGTCCACTGCTGCTCACTGTGCTCTGGCCCACTCTGCCCTGCCACAGGGTTGCTGGGGCTCTGGTCTCGTGCCCTGCTGTCTGCCCACACATACCCTCTGTGACCCACATGCCCCTCTGCAGACCTCACTGCACCTCTGTCCCCTCAGAAGCCCTCCGTGCTCGTTCACAACGGGTACATGAGACACCGGAGCCCCAGTGAGCCCTCTGCTTGGTGGGAGTTGGGATAAAGTCTTTTCCCCTAAGGTGTAATCTCAAAAAGGCAGAAGTCAGGTAAGTCTCTCTGTTTTATCTCCAGCTTCTGATAAGGCGTTGACCACGCAGTGAGCGTTCACAGAAACTTGTGGGATGCTGGCGAGTGGAGGAATGGCCCTGAGAGAGTTCTTGGGAAGGGGCTGCCCACCCACCGTGGCTGTTCCAGAAAGAACCCATTTCTGCCCCCTAAAGTGCGGTATCTCTGGCCACCAACTGTGTGTTTTATGATTCCCTTAAGATCCAGGAGGCTCAAGACAAACAAGAGCAGCCCTTCCATGTGGGAGAAAAAGACAAGAGCACTGGAGTGGGTGAGGTGGAGCAACTGCAGGAGCAGCCCGAAGCCAAAGACGCCATGCTACTAAGAGCAGAAATGGAAAAGCGCCAGTTGTCCCAGAGACTTGAGGAAAGTCGAGGCCAAGTGTCATCCTTGGCTAAGGAGAGAGACGACCTGCAGAGGCGGCAGGAAGCGCTCCAGGCAGAGCGTGACCAACTCACAGCGCGCGTCAGAGAAGTCAGCGAGAAAGTAGGTTCTGTTTTCTCCATTTTTAGAAATACTTGGTGTACAAAAGCTCATGCTATTAAACATTTGCAAAAAGCAGTTAGTTATACTGTAATGATTATAATGCTTCTGTAAATTTCTTGGGATTTCTCTAATAACAAAGCACCAGGAAACGGAAGCAGAACTTAGAGTTGCTCATTGCTGCCTAAAAGAACGAGAAGAAACCATTGATGAGCTGAGGGTGAATCTCTTGGAGAAGGAAACTGAAATAGCAGGTGTTCAGAAGGAATTAGAAGCAGCCAGCGAGGCATTGCAGACAAAGGTAAACTGAGGATGGGGAACAGTGGAAGCAGACTTGGAGGACAATAATGAAAGACTTGTTTCTATACAAAATTACTTTCAAAAACTTTTTTATTTTTCCTTAAACTATATGTGTATGTATATTTTTAACTAATAACTTCTTTTATTGTTATTTTTAAGATCCAAGAGCTTTATGAGAAAAAGGAACAGCTTATTAGAGTAAAGGAAATTAGTGAGATGCACGAAAAAATTCATGAACTGGAAAAATTCAAGGAGCTTCTCAGAGCCAAAGATTCCACCCTGCAGGGTATAGAGAGAGACCGGCTCGAGTTAAGTAAGAGACTGGAAGAAAGTCAAGAAGAAATAAAAATTATCATTAGGGAAAGAGATGAACTGCAAAAGCTGCAGGAGGCCCTTCAGACAGAGAGAGATCAACTGAAAGAAAACCTTAACGAAACGGCAGCTAAAGTAAGGCTCCCTCTTCTGCATTTTCTGGAAATAGCGTTAAATGGAAAGAATATAGTGTTAAATGTGATCGTGATGACCACAGTGAAGTTTTATTAATTTTCCTCTAATCAAAAAGGAAATAGATTCTGAAAACTGCTGACATTCACCGTACTGAGCACTGAGAAACTCAGTGCCAGGAGTGTTTGGGAGGAGATGGGGCGAGCAGCAGGTGTTCAGAGCTGTCAAGCAGATTGAGTGCTGAGTTCAGCACAGGGTGGGCCTTGCTTGTTAAGTTGAGAACGGCATCTGGCGGTGGTATTCCTCATGTCCCTGATGAAAGAGCAGTACATGCCTTAGACTAGCACGTAACCCCATTTTCCTTCAGTTTAGGAGTCTTCTTTTCCTAAAAACCTGCTGTGTCCTCACTTGCTTTCAGCTCCGAGAACTTGGGGAGGAACAGCAGTGTCTCAGGGTGAAAGCCACCAGCGAGACCCTGGAGGCTGGGCGTGAGTTGGAGCGCTTGAGGGAGCAGCTGGAGGCCCAGAGGTCAACTTTGGAAAACACAGAAATGGAGAACAGGAAGTTGGCTCAGAGGCTCCATGAAAACCTTGAGGAAATGAGAGCAGTCACACAAGAAAGAGACAACCTGAGGAGTGTGCAGGAGACGCTCACAGTGGATAGTGAGCGGCTCGCGGGAAACCTGGAGGAAGCTCTAGCAAGAGTGCGTTGCCTCTCACCCCGTCCAGTAATGCGGCGTCTCGTCCTGAAAGACCAGTGGTGGAAGGGCTGTGGGGAAGGTAGCATTGGCCCGGAAAGTCCTGCTATAGCTCTGTATTCTAACCTGTTTGCAGGATGGTGCAAAGATAGCTGTAGGATAGTCAGTGGAGCAAGTCGCAGTCGTAAAGTAAAGCAAACAAGTAGGGAAAATCAGAAGTGCCCATTAGTAGGGGACTGGGTCCTGGGAGAGCACATTCAGGTCATGGGCTACCGCACTGCGGGTCAGGAGTGAGGCGCTACTGCAGAGCCGTGGTGGGTGTCCTGCGTGGGAAGGCTCAGCTGCAGCGCAGGAAGTAACGTCAAAGTCCACATCCAGCAGGAGCTTGGCAAGGCAGGACCGGGAGTTCTCAGATGGGGGACTTGGGGCTTTCGCTCTGAACCTCTCTGTACTGTTTGAATTGTGTCACTCTCAATGTAGAATTATTTTTCTTTCTCTAATAAAGGACCTGGAAACACAGGAGAAGGTCAGAATTGCTCACCTGTGTCTGAAAGAGCAGCAAGAAACTATTGATGAACTCAGAGGGGTTGTTTCTGAGAAGACAGATGAGGTGTCAAATATGCGAGCGGACTTACAAAGCACAGACACAGCCTTAAAAGCACAGGTATCTTTTGAAGTTGTCATCTGAGGAACTGGGGATTTGGATCGGGCGTTTTGTGTAATGAAACCGGGTGGTAATTAGCCTAAAACCAAAGACAAGTGAAGATTTGCCTATTCAATTTTGGAACTATTCTTTGTCGTATCCCAAGGCCCAAGAACATGAGAAGAAACAACATCAGCTTCTTCAGGTAGAAAATAATCTCAAGGAAACTGTGTTTCAAATGGAGCAATTGAAGAAGCAATTCGAAGCTCAGAATGCAACTCTGGAGAGCATAGAGGGGGAGAGATTAAGACTGACGCAGAAGCTTGAAGAAAACCTTGAGGAGGTGCAGTTTCTCACTGAGGAAAACGAGAGCCTGAGAGGTGTGGAGGAAACCCTGAGAGAGGAAGGGGAGCAGCTGCGGGAGAGGCTGCGGAGGACAGAAGCCGAGGTGAGCTGTTCTCTCCCCCCCTGCAGGCCGGTGACGAGCCCTTCTGCGAGGAGAGGTGACGCAGCGTTAGGCCCTGAGACCCGGAGTGGGTGTTGGAGTTTCAGTTCTGTAGCCAGCATTTTCTTTACGGCTATTACGCCTCAGTGGTTAGAATAAAGAATGTATGCAGGCGTTCACACACACATCCGCCCCAGGGCTCTGTGTTGTAATAGTTTGTGATAAAAGGGAGCTGTCTGAATGCTCCTCAGAAGGAAACCGGGTAAAAAGGAGGCCGGTGTCAAAATCCCATGTGACCCTGAAAGAAAAGACGCAGGTTTGGGTGTACCCTCGGAAAGCCAGGGCAACCCTGAGGTCCACAGGCTGGCCAGCGTGTGTGCAGCGCATTCGCTCCCCAGCAGGAGAAGAGAGTGGGTGAGGGTGAGGGCGAGGGGCCACTCTCACTGGTGGCCGCAGCCTGCAGGGCAGAAGCACAGGCAGGCGGCAGTGTCTCGCACAGCCCAGGGCCCTCCCTCCAGAGCTGAGCTGCAACTGTCCTTCAAGGCGCTGCAGAGGCAGGAGGAGCTCAGAGTCGCTCACGTGAGCCTGAAGGAGCAGCGGGAAACCACAGATGAGCTCCGACGGCTTGTTTCGGAGAAGACGGAGGAAATGTCGAATATGAAAATGGATTTAGAAACTTCCAGTGTTAAATTACAAGAAAAGGTACGGGAGGGGAGCTTTTGGACTGGATGTCTGGCTTGGGATCTAAAGTTGCCAGCACATTGGTCAGCCGCAGGGTGGCACCACCCATGCCAACAGTGTCCCTGTGAGGCCCCGAGGCCCAGGAGTGCCCGTGACAGCCTTAGCAAAATAGTGCAGGACAAAGACAGCTCACATCTGCCACAAGGGCACGGTCGTGTTACAGTCTGGAGGGACATTGAGGTCACCATGGGGGTCACTCCGGGAGGGGCCATGCAGGAGCATTATGGGGTGCCTCGGATGTCCTGCTCTGACCTGGGAGATAGTTTTACAGCTCTACACATCTCAGAAATAATTGAACTGCACACCTAAGATCAGTGTTCTCTACATTTTACTTCAAAAGAAAGTTGTGTGAATCAGTGAGAATAACATGAGAGGAATACTCTTGGTGGCACTGGGGATTGAACCCAGAACCTTTGCACTGAGGTGCGTCTGCAACCCTTATTTTTTGAGACAGGGCTTGAAATTCCCACCCTCCTGCTTCAGCTTCCCAGAGTGCACCATCAGGCCCTGCCAGGGAAGACTACAGTCTTAGTTTAGAAACTGTTCTTTAACTTTCTCTTTAAAAAAGGTTGTATCCTAACATGCTATTTTATCATTATCTTAAGATTGGAGAACTGAAGGCGAATGAACATCTCCTTGTTAAATTAAAAGGAGACGTCGGTGAGACACAGAAACAGCTCAAGGACCAGAGCTTAATGCTAAGTAAAATGGAAATGGAGAATTTAAATTTGGCTCAGAAACTTCATGAAAACCTGGAAAAAATGAAATCTGTGGCAAAAGAAAGAGATGGTCTGAGGAGCATGGAGGAGGCACTCATGCTGGAGCGAGACCGGCTCAGGGAGGAGCTGCGGGAGGCCGCGGCCAGAGTGAGTTGTGCACCGCCTCAATGCCCAGCCAGTGTCCTCCGACCAGCAAGCAGGGGCCCCTGAGGGCGGGAAGCCCGGGTTACCACAGCACCTTTGGGGCACCAGCCCCTCTTCCAGGGGTGCGTCCTTCTGACAGCAGTGCCCCTGTGGGTGGTTGAGGTGACCCAAGTCTAGAAACCACCCACGTGTCCGGCAAGAGGGCCCAGGCTACCTGGCGTTCCCTGCGGGGTGGAACCGGAAGCCAGAGTCTGGGCCAGTTTCCGGGAAGGGGCAGGTGCCAGGAAAGGAAGCTGCAGGGCCAGGGAGGGCCAGGACAGGCTGGGGCTGCTCAGGCTGCTGCCGTCAGGCCATGGTGCTTTCTAACTGACCATGCAGTTTTCAGGTGTTTGAAACCAGTCTTCAGAACAGCCAGGGTTGCTTTCTATCCCGCACTTCTCTATTTCTTCTAATAAAGGGTCTGGAAACACAACAGGAACTAAAAACTGCTCATCAGCATTTGAAAGAACAACAAGAAACTATTGAGAAATTCAGAGAGAGGGTCTCAGAAAAGACAGCGCAGATTTCAAATATTCAGAAGGCTTTAGATCAATCAAAAGATGAATTACAGGAGAAGGTATGTGTGGTTTTCTTCTTATTTGGGGGTTAACTATACTCAGAATTATTGGTGGAATGGGAAAGGAGATAGCTATGTAGCTGTGAATACAGATTGAGTGTCCCTAATCCAAAAATACAAAAGATAAAATGTTCTGAAATCCATAACTTTTTGAGCACCAACTTAAGGTTCAGAAACTTTGAGATTTCAGAGTATTTTAGATTTCAGATTTTTGGATTAGGGGCTCTCAACCAGTAAAATCTGCAGATATTCCCAAATCAAATACCTCCAAAACAAAACACTCATTTCAAATGAGGGACACTCAGCCTGTGCATGTGTACATATGTAACACACACTGCTTTCCTTCATGTGCATTCTAACTTGTTTTGTAATTATCTCAAGATCCAAGAACTTCAGCAAAAAGAGCATCAGCTTCTTAAAGTAAAAGAAGATGTTGATAAGAGTCAAAAAATTGAATGAAATGGAACAGTTGAGGCAGCTGTTTGAGGCCCAAAGTGTACCTATGCCACATATGGATGTGGATAACTTCCACTTGACTAAGAAACTTCAGGAAAACCTAGAAGAAATCAGGATGGTAGCTAAGGAGAGCCGAGAGCTCAGGAGGATGAAGGAGGCTCTCGAAAGGGATGGAGGTCAGTTCAGAGAAGCCGTGGGGAAAGTGGTAGCTTGAGCGGGATCAGAGCCTCCCCTCACTGTGAACTGTCTGTAAGAATTTTGAAAAAAGAACCAATATAGGGTGTTTTGTTGTTGTTTTCTGAAAATTTCTATGAGCAGTAAGGGTTAATGGGAAAATTTACTATAATTTTTACATAAATAGCAAATGCATTTTTTTAAAGAAGCCAAAAAAATTTCCAGAAAATGCCACTTAATTTTTCATTTTTAAGAAAGACATGTTGCCGGGGATTTAGCTCAGTGGTTCTGTCACCTGCCACGCAAATGCAAGGACCTGAGTTCAATCCCTGGTACCAAAAAAAAAAAAAAAAAGAAAGAAAGACATGTAATAAATAAAGCAGACATTTTCCTTGATATCATTTCTTAATATAATTTCTAAAATTTTTTAAAACAAGAAATAGCATTACTATACATGAGATATTAAAAGATTAGATTTGTCGTCAAGGATTAAAGCCCTCATTTGTATACCTCTCTTGATAGAGTTCTAGAAATGGCTCTTACTGCTAGAGCAGTTGGAATCGAAAAGGCAAGAGGAATATAGAAGTTTTTCTAGCGTGACTTTATGGGGAATCAGAATGATGTAGCTTAGAAAACCTAATCGAATCCTCTTAAGAAGAAGCAATTGAAACAAAGCAATTAAAAAACATTTTCATTTCCATAATTTAATAATGTAGGAAACAGTATTATTTACAGTTTCAACAAAACATGGAATATTTGACAATCATCCTTATGTGGACCCTAACTAAATTGATAAAGGAATTTAATTTCACAACTGTTTATTAAGGGTTGGTCATTCTTCCAGGTACCAGAGTGGATACGTTCACCAAGGGGGAGAAAGTGGGCTTTCTGTCTGTTTTCTACTTGTTAATCAGAAATGCAGGATGTGGGCCAGGGATTTAGCTCAGTGGTTCCACTGCCTGCCTGGCAAGCACAAGGTCCCAAGTTCAATCCCTGGTACAAAAAAAGAATAAATTTTTCCTACTTTAAAAAAGAAGGTCTATAGAGAAATGGAGGATGTGAAGAAGACATTTTCTGTTGCAAGGTGCCAGGAAGAATGCATCACCAGGTCTTGGGACACCGGCCAGAGCAGGAGATTTTGCTAGGTATCACCTGGCAGGAATAATTGTACCGCAGAGGTCTGGGAGAGCAGGAGACAAATAAATCAAAACTTAATTTGCAACCGTGGAGACTAAGTTCTGACCCCGAAAGCTGGGGACTTCTGTCCCCAAAAATAATGTGGTTTCCACTTCCTCAGTGAGTAGTGGGCACTCCCTGAGACATGGACACACTGTCACTCATCTAAAGTGTAACACTTCTGCTACTGCGTCTGACATGAGTGTGTGAGCATGGCTGAGCGTGTTCCTTCCTCTGCCCAGGACCATCAGCCCCACAGGGAGGCCAGGAACTCTGGAAGGAGGTCGCCATGTGGTGGCGAGCAGCCTCTCGCCAGAAGCCTGAAGGAGAAGGGCCTCCGGATAGGAGTAAGTGTTCCTGTCACCCCGCAGGCCCCACGGGGACCTCTGTGGGGCAGAGTGCAGTGTGTCCCAAGTGTTGCCATGTATGAGGGGTGTGCACACGCGTACACAGCAGGGGAGCACACAGCTGTGAAGGCCTCCTGCACGGGGGACAGCAGAGCACACGTGCGAAAGGCCAGAGGGTCGCGCCACACAGCTGTCCTGTCTGGGGGAAGAGCCGTGTGGAGTGGGGACCAGCGGGCGGCACAGCTGGCTCTGGGCAGCCCCTGTGGCTCGAGGAGCACAAGGAGGGGAGGCGGTCAGAGCCTGACAGGACTCGGGGTTTCCTCTGGGTGAGAGCGTTGACCCCAGGAGGCCGTGAGCTGACTTGGGGCCAGGGGACATGCGCTGCTGTGATGGAATAGCCCAGAAGCGGGAAGACCATCTGAAGGACCGAGTGCAGTGGTCCGGGCAGAGGTGCTGGAGCTGGGTCCACAAGGGGAGTGGTGGAAGTAGTAGGTAGGGTTTGGATTCTGCATATGCATGGACGGAAGGCCAGTGAAACACGGGCTCTCCGAGGACACATTTTATATCATTTGTCACGTTCTTGACAGCAATCACTGCTCAGTGTCGTAATGTGATTCACACTCCAACCCCTGTGATAGTAGGGGTCTCCTCCCCAGCAACCAGACCAACGCACAGCGGCTTTTCTTTCGTGGGGCTCATTACTGTGAGCTTCCTCCCCGGAGTTAAGTGTGGCACTGCGAGGTGACTGCAGTGCTTGGCCTGGACGCGTCCCCACTGCCTGGGAGCTGCTGCCTGCCTGGCCTCCGCCATTGAGTGCCCCGAGTGCTGCCCTGGCTCTCAGGACCATCCCTCCGGAGAGAGGCTGTGTTGCTGCCCTTGGGAAGGAAACCAAGGCAAGAGAGGAAGCTTAGCATTGCCCACAGTGGCACAGCTGGCAAAGTGACAACCAGAATTCTGTTTAAAAGTTGTATATATAAACATTTGTACAAATACAATTTCATTTCCTTCAGGTTATAACATCTGCATCTATTTTGTCGGTTACACATGCAGACACATGTAGTCTGTATATTTCATCTGATCCCCTAGAAAACCGTGACAGTTACCGAGCGGTCATGTCATTGAGCAAAAGGCCCAGTGACTTCCCATGTCCGAAGGGACCAGGCTGGAACTGAGCCCCCACTCCAGTGAAGGTTAGCAAACAGTCAGGCAGATGGCAAAAATGTCCAGGTGGCTTTCCCAAGGCAGCGGGGTGGGCAGGTGGCCTCTGCTAACTCACGCTGCTGTCGGAACCCTTAGCCCACACTCAGCCTTGAGCTACAGCAGACGCAGCTCACGTTCACTCGGGTTTCTCTTCAACTTGGCTGACTCGCATTCAGATCAGGAAGGTGCAAATGACGAGAAAAAAATACATCAGAATACTGTGGGGCTGCAGGTGTGGCTCAGTGGTGAGAACATCTCCGAGCATGCCTGAGGTCCTAGGTTTAATCCACAGTACCCTTTAAAAAATGATGACAATACTGTGTCTAGCATATTGTTTTAGTTCCCACAATAATGTTATATTATCTATAATCCTAAACCAATAGGTTTCTTTTTTTTAGCATAAAGGTCTTTATGTCTTTGCTACAAAAAGTGTTAAAATATAAGTTATGTCACAGTGTTAGCAGTAGAGCTACTTATGTTGAATTGAGTGAAGTTTAATTTTCCTTCAGGAGCTTCTGAAGAGCTACTCGGAGCTGGATAATCACTATGAAAGCTTGAATAGATTGTCTCTTGACTTGGAGAAGGAAATTGAAACCCAGAAAGAGCTTTCAACAAGAGTAAAAGCGAACCTCTCTCCCCAACACCCACAGAGCAAACAGGTTCAGAGACTTCTCACTGCCAGCCAGAGGTGCTCCATGGAATTCCACAGAGTCATGAGGAAACTTAAGGTACCACCATTTTTTAGGGCTATCCACATAAATGTGACCATAGACTGCAGGCACAACTCTCAGTGCGTTGAGGTACTCTCAGGAATTTGTGATTTGCTGTTTAGAATCCTTACCACAAACAGAAAGCATGTGTGGGTCCCAGAACACTATGTGCATGCAGGATTCTCACCCAGTACCCATTCACTCAGCAAACCCAGGCTCTGCCCAGAGGCCTAGACCCCAGGTCAAGGTGCTCCAGAGACGGATCTGGGTCACGTCCCAGACATGTCACACTGTGGGGGGGGGGGGGTAACCAGGGAACACATGCAAGGACACCAGTGTGTGCAGTGGTGTGGCAGGCCACGTGTCGAGTGGAGGCGGGGCTCAGGCGGCACAGGTGGGGTTGAGTCTGCGGATGACGGAGAGCCCAGGGCAGGCGTCTTAAGTGGCAGTAGCAGAAAGCGGTTACCGCGGGGTACTTCACTGCAGAATGAGACGGGCAGGTGCAGTACGAAACCAGCTGTGCTACAGGGCAGGTTTCCCAGGGACCGAGAGGAGAAGATGGTGAAGAAACAGCAGCTTCGAGTGCTAGGTTCATGTGGGTGATCGTGGAGGTAAGGCAGGCAAGTTTGAGTTGAGTGCCAGGATCTGTCACTAGCCAGGTTTGGGGATGGTGGGTACCGTTAACCAGCAGCAGGGTGAGGCAGGGGTCCAGGTGGCAGCGTGAGGTGTCCGAGGCTGAAATACCCATGATGAGACGTTGAATACGAGCGGCCAACTGGGCATTCGGCTTGAGTCAGGTTTGGCGGGAGAAAGGTCAGGACTGAGATTTGGGGCTCAGCGACAGTGATGGTGACAGATAACGCAGCGTGTGCGAGGAAGGGCAGTCATGTGGAAGGTGGCAGAGGGCCGGGGGGCGGGGGGGATGGAACTCAGAAGAGCCCAGAGGGCGAGCTCGGGGAGTCAGGCAGGAGAGAAGCAGGCAGAGCTTTCCCTACAGTCCGGGCGGGACAGAGCACATCCTGGGGGAGGAAGATGTCCCCGAAGGGTGCAGGTGTGACTTGGGTGGCTGCCAGGTTCCCACCCTCCCTGCTTGCCTCTTGGATTCCGATAACCCTCCCACAGATGCTCACTCGTGGGCAGGAGAGGCTGTTGGACTCGCGTCTCCAGTGTCTGCCTGGGAACCGAGTGATCTGCAGCTTGAAGGCAGCAGGACGAGGCTGTTTAGCCACAAAGCAACCACAGATGAAAGTTCATTTTCCAATGTTTCATTTTTCTGCAAGTATGTGTTAAGCCATGTGACAAAGATAAAGGAAGAGCAGCACGAATCCATCAACAAGCTGGAAATGGCTCTCGTGGGCGAAGTGGAAAAGCAGGGTGAGCTGCGTGACAGGCTCCAGCGGGCATTCGATGGGCCGCGCACAGAGTCCAGGCTCCACAGGCTGCACCGGCTTATGGATCTACATACTGAGGTACGATTTATTTCAAATGGACTCAATTGCATTTTAATCCTTTCCATCACATAGGAAGCCTCCTTTCCATGCGTGTGAAGCCATGGAAATGAAAATGGGCTGCAGGCTGACAGCTGGTCAGACAGAGATGGCCCGTGATGGGCCAGCTTCCTTTCTGGCTGCTGTAGACACAGAAGAGCGGGCGGAACATTAGCAAGTAGGGGTTTGTGGAATCCCAAAATAAGTTTCCGAAATTTTTGCCACTCATTCTTCTGACAGAAGACTACTATGTAGACTACATAAAGCACTCAAAAACATTAGATGCCTTCTAAAACCAAATCCCACATGGCCGGGGATTTGGCTCAGTGGTTCTGCCACCTGCCCTGCAAGTGCAAGGACCTGAGTTCAACCCCTGATACCAAAAAAGAAAAACCTGTTCCACGTGTCGTGGGAGTCAGAAACCCTTTTATTGCAGCAGCTCCGGGATTCGCAGCTCCATGCACGGCTATGTGCACAGAAAAGTGGCATTGTGGACCCTTGATGCATGGGGACAGTCGGTCACAGCGTGTCACTGATGGGCATGTCACTGAGATTCCAGTTCTAACAGGGAGAATTGAGATGTGCCTCTGTCACATAGCAGAGTGCCAAAATGTTGTTATGCAGATGACAGAAGTTTTAAACTGGGATTATGTTTCCTAGTTTGCTTTAAATTATTAAGAATGAGAGTCCGATGGGTATTTCCCTTTTTATATTTATGATGCTTTATATTTCATCTGATATTTGGATTCAAACTTTCCTGGTGGTGAGGCAGTTCAATGCCTATTTTTCTCACAGGAAATTCTCAAAGACCTGTCAGAAAATGAGTTCTCCAGCATAAAGATTGAATTTCAACAAATACTGAGAAATCGGAAAGAAATGACTCGGTTTTTGGAAGAGTGGCTGAGTACTCATTTTGACATAGAAAAGCTTAAAAATGGCATCCAGAAAGAAAACGAAAGCATTGGTCAAGTGAATAACTTCTATAATAACAAAATAACTGTGAGTATGAATGTTTTATGCTATCTCACCCTCACTGTCCTTTGCTTTGATTTTTCTGTCTTGTTTCTAGAATGGCTAGATTTTACATATCCTTAATTTATTTATATATGCTTTATGAGAAACACTGAGTTTGTAAAACACTCTTCCTGAGGCATATCATGCTTCCGTAAGGTAATTAGGTAGTGTATATAAATCTGAGCTGTAAGGGTGACACCCTTGGTGGGTGTTTTTGGATAGCAGCCCTTTATAAGACCCATCTTCTGCGAATACACACACTCTCAGTCTGTGGCTTGTCCTCCCAATCTCACTGCAGTCTTTCACTGCAGACTTTTGGGTGAAGAAAGGCCCTTGGCGATACGTCTTTCCTAGTTCCTGCCTTGTTGTGTCTGAAAATCAGTCAGCCAAGGTCACCTGGGCTCCTGCTCTGTCACCTGCCCAGGGGTGTTACTGGTTTTCACCTTGAAGTGAACCCTGGGGTCCGTTTTAAGCTGCATGTCACTGTGCTGCTCTGCTCTGTTTGTGGAGGCCATGCAGTCTGTGTCTGCTGTTGCCCCTTTGCTTGCGGGTGTGCAGCTTGGTAGGGATGTTGCTGAAACACTTCCTCTTCCACAGTGTGTCAGAGATGAGCCAGTGAGGGGATCTGTCTGTGCTCTGACCGCTCCCATGGACCTACACAGAGCTGTTCTGCAGCTCCTGATGTCAGGCTGCAAAGTTGAAATTTTTATTACTCTTCCCAAGGTGATTGGCCCAAATGACTTGATTCCTGAAAAGCAGCATTGCTCAAGATGAGTTTGTAACTTGCTTTGCTTTTCGTGAATCAGTGTGTTTATTCTCCTTCTAACACAATACCTCCCACATGTGCCCGCTAAGATACAGTGTCACAGCTGCTTCCGAGAGTCACAGAGCAGAGGGGGCTGGGCCAACCCATAGCCTCCAGATGGGCTTCATTCCATGTGTTTGAGGATCTCTCTTCTGACACTTGAATTTCATCTGTGAACAAATCATACTGAAATAAGGACTAATGCTTTTTAGATTTAAAAAAAAAAAAGCATTTTCCAGGGAGTAGCTCATCCCATCTGTAGAATAGTCAGCTTAGGAAACGATAATTGGCTCTTTCAGAAAACAGTCCACAGGCAACAGAGAAAGGCACAAACCAGCATTTGAATAAGGTAACCTGTGTACTGTTGTGTGCTGTTCTTGTAATATTGAGGTGCAGCTGTGGTTAGGTTAGAAAGTAGGGATCTCTCCACGTGGCTCAGCCTGGATATGTGGCCTCTTCAGCACCCTGCAAATAGGAATTGATAACTTTGCAGTGTAAGGTCAGAAGACCAGAGCAAGGAGAGTCCAGGATGCCAGAAGGAACAAATTAACTGAAAATCCACTGAGCCAGATGGAGTCGCACACACCTGTAGTCCTAGTACTGGGGGGGAGGCAGGAGAATTACAAGTTCAAGGCCAGCCTGTGCAGCCACTCTTCAAGTGGCAGTGCCATCCTGTCACTGTCTGCAGATGAGCGAGCCCTGCCCAGCCTTGCTCTGCTCTTTCCCGTGGTCAGTAGAGAAGGCCTGGAAGTGCGGGGGGCAGGCAAACCCCCAGGAGCACTGTTCCAGGGTGTGCTAAATAGCGAACCTCAGCGTCTCCGGTGTCCTAGAATCCTGGTGTCTTCTCATGCCACAGTGGTGCTTGCCGTTCTCTAGGCCATAATAAATGAGTCCACGGAGTTTGAGGAGAGAAGCGCTGCCAGGTGCAGAGAGTGGGAGCAGGACCTGGAGTCGGCGCGGGAGGAGAGCAGAGCGCTGCTCAGAGACTGCCAGGTGCTGGCCGCCTCCCTGTTGTCGGCCCACGGTGACCCTGCCTCGGTGACCCTCCTGGCCAGCGAGAGTCCTCAGGTGCCCCCAGGAGCTGCACAGCTGGCTACACAGGTGCGGCTCTTCGGGGCACAGCCCAGAGCAAAAGTGTGTACTGAGCGGTGTGTGAGCACGCGTGTGTGTATGTGTGTGTAAGATTCGCTGGGTTTTTACATATAATTCACCAAAACTAATTATAAAGATAGCCTGTATCCAAGATCTTTTGGGTTATAAAACAAGTAAATTATACCTTAATTTGAATACCAGATTCATCCAATGCAGGTTTTTACTCCGTAGGTATTACCGACTTTCATTATAAATTTCCTAAGTCATGTGGCTTTCTATTAAAATGTAATCTCTATGCAAAACAAACATTAACTGGAAGAAAAATAGCGATTTAGCTTATCTGACTTTCCTCAGTGCCTTTAATATTGGTTATATTACAGTCACAATAAAAATGTAGGAGGCTGAACCTATAGCAAGACTGTTTCACGGTTTGACTTGTAAGAATCCATGTACTGTGTAAATAATCCGATCACATCATTGGCTTCCCTCTCGTGGAAGCTGGCAGACATAACCCAGCGTGCTGCCCTGTTGTTAGCACCCAAAACGGCTGCGTAGGGACCCAAGAGTAAGGTAAAGTTCAGGGATGGTGAGCCTTTTAGACCTTTCAGAGATAACAAACAGCCCGCTCTGACGCGTGCCACAGGTTCGCTGCCACTGATATCGTGCATTTTTACCAAAACAAATAACTGGTAGTAAAACCAACCACAAGTTTAGTCATTAGCTACCAGCAAAGACTGGGATATCCCGAGTCCTGTGTTTTGATGTGCAGGTCGGTGTATAATCCCGTCAGCTGATAGGGTGACACAGGGCAAAGATGAAGTTGGTCTTCCAGAGCAGTAATACACGGAAGCAGGGGAAATTCCAGCCTCACTGCCCCCAAGAAACACCCAGCAGGCCACAGCGCACGATGCCGTGACTGCCCAGTGCTCCAAGCCTGCGGGAGCCCACAGGGAGAGTGAGCAGTGGGCAGAGTGCAGTGCAAAGCTGCACGCCGCTGAGGGCCTTCCTGTAGGGTCAGTCGCTGCCACCTGGGGAAAGAGCGGCGTCTTAATACGTGATTTGAAACAGCAGGTGAGCTACCTGGAGAAAGGCAAGGCTGGCTTCCTGTCTCTACACAAAAACAAATTCTAGGTGGGCCAACACAAAAAAGTGAAAAGTATGTGCGTGTGAATAATACTGTAAACATGAAAAAAGTCAGTTATTCAAGTTTATCCAAAGTTGATACATACGTGCAAAAACCTGGGAATAACGTAAATGTTAATTGCATAAAATGAGATTTGTATCCATGAAAACAAGAAATATGCGAGATCTGCACATGTTGATAGCAGAAAGAGCCTTGTGCCATGTGCTTAGTACCCACTGGGGTCGTGGGAAGGGCACCCTGGAGAGGGTTTGGTAGTCCCTGCTTCGGGGCCTCTGGGGGTCTCAGGTGGGAGACTTCATTTATGCCTTTGAAGTTTTCCACGTTTGCATTTTTTAATTTCAAAACTAATGAAAAAAAGGGGAAGATATGTTACATGTATTACTGCAGGGAACCAGTTAATGAATGTACAATGAACAGCGTTCATTTCAAATGTAAGTGCCCATGTAGTACGCTAAGCGCTGTGCTAACAGGTACACAAGGTGACCACTAGGCTCTTCTTCTCTGTATCATTTAAGAATTTGCTGGCAGGTTATGTCAAATGTTGGCATTTTTTCCACCCAAAAATCTGCTAGCTGAAAGAAATAACATGACTGTAGATTGATATCTGATCCTAATTATCTGTCCCTGTCAGCACCTCGTAGAGATGGTCCTGTGTCTCAGCTCGGTGTACTGTGCTTCTGTTTTCAACATGTGCCTCACGGATATGTGCTTCCTCTAACAGAAAATTCAGGATCTGGAAAGTTCCCTGCACAAAGCTAAAGAAAGTGCTGTGTGTAAGGAAGACGAGATTAGAAGGATCCAGAAAGAACTCGAAATGTCCAGTGACGTAAATGCGAAACTTCAAGCCAAAGTTAATGAATCAAATAAATTCCTTGAAAAAACAAATGCAATGATCCAAGCACTTCAGGTAACTTCATTTTATAAATAAAAGTTGTTTTTTGCAAGCTGTAAAGTTTGACAAATAATTTACTACCATGACCTTCTCTCTCACCACAACTTCCTAAAATTCCTACAATGTCAAAATTCATTATTGAAATTAAAATAGAATGGATAAGTGATCTGGGGTACATCCATGCAGTAGAATATCATATCATACAGCACTTAATAGAAATGAGCTATCAAGCCATGAAAATGTGTGGAGAATCATAAAGCATATTGCTAAGTGAAAGAGGCCATTCTGAAAAGGCTACATACTATACATTTCCCAATATGTGACATTTTAGGAAAGGCAGAACTAGAGAACTGTTAAAAAGATTGGCATAGGGCCAGGGATTTAGCTCTGGTTTCACTGCCTGCCTTGCAAGTGCAAGGTCCCGAGTTCGATCTCCGGTACCAAAAAAATATATACTTCACATTAAATACCGAGTTAGGGCTTTGTAGTTTGCTGTTTTGAAACATTCCCATTACAGCAAAGGCAGCAGATGACTCTTTAAAACTAGAGAAATTGAGGCTCATCATTCTACTCTTCTCCATACAAATTAGGACGAAGTTGCTTTAGGAGCAAAGCCGTATAAGGAAGAAATTGAAGATCTCAAGACGAAGCTGGTGAGATCAGACCTGGAGAAGATGCAGACTGCCAAGGAATTTGAGAAGGAGTACGTCTGTCCATTCCTATACCAGTAACTTAGAAGTGGCCTTTGCATAGCACTCGGAGTGTGGGGACGCACACTTGTGTTCCTGGAGCACATGCTGACCACAGTCTCTGCGCTCCTCACTTCACGCTCTTTGGTGTGCATCTGCATACAGATAATGCTTCTTGGCCTAAAGGCACCAGGGCCCAGAGCACATCCTCTCCTTAGTGATGCACCTATTCACCGTTCTGTGTTAGAGCGGGTCCAGAGTTCTTTGTGCTGTGACACAGTGGAAGGATTTCCAACAGGCAGTGGGAAGACTGAGTTAGGGGAGTGCGCCTTGCATTAACACTTCGCCTTAGCCAGGCTGCTCACCCTGGGCCCTCATCAGTCAACTAAAGGAGAGCTCTGGGTTCCTTCAGTATTCCTGAAGAGGTCTCCTGGTGCCTGGTACTTCTCATACTTCTTAATCTTGAGGAAGTGTCTGCTGATGATGTCCAGTTCTCCCGAAGGTAGCACTGAGTCCTCACGCTTCTGAGCAGGCTTCCTTGATAGAGCTTACTGTTTCAGGGAACCTACCCTGCCAAGTTCCCAGTTAGAAAACGTTTGTAATTCTAGGATACTCAGCAGATATTTGCATAGTGTTTGGGGGGTGGTTTTGTTTGCAGTAGTGGGGATTGGACCCAGCACCTCACCTGTGCTAGGCAAGAGCTCTACTACTGAGCTACATCCCTGGCCCCTTTTAATTCTTACTTTGAGAGCTTCACTATGGTACCCAGGCTGGCCTCAAACTTGAGATTCTCCTGCCTCAGCCTCCTAAGTAGCTGGGACTACAGGTATTCACCACCACACCTAGATGCTTTCATAGCTTTTATCAGTGCTGATTAAGGTTTAAACCAACCATTCGTGAACTCTTCCATGGGGGACAGCGAATTTGACCTTGACCACTTCTCCTTGGACCCCACTGCCCTCAGAGTTTGCTTTCCTGACAGCATGGAAGGGGAGCTGTTCTTCTCATGTTCTGCTCACTGTGCCTTCAGGTTGCTTCCTGGAAACAGCCCAGTTGTGTTTGTTTTATAGAACCTCTAATATAAATGTGTTCAATATCCAATTAAAAGCTATTGGACTTCCAATTTTGTTTTAATTAATTTTATTGGTGCATTTTAGGTATACAATATAATGACATTCTTCATTGGAAATTTGCACCTTTACATAATTTCTCTTGGTTCTTATTTTTTCCCCATTCCCCTGCCCTCCCTTCAACCCCTCCATCCTTCCCTATTTAC